GGTGTCATTCGTCAGCTAGAGACAGTCTTCTACGAACGAGGCCCGCCGACCGAAATACTGACTGACAATGACACCACGTTCACTTGCAGACAATTTAGGGAATTTGTAAACAGCTGGGGCGTGCATTTAAGCTTCCGGTGCGCTTACGTGCTGTCTGGAAATGGCATTGTGGAACGCAACCACAGAAGCGTCAAAACCATAGCGGCCAGGAAAAATTGTTCAGTCTTGGAAGCGGTTTACTGGCATAACGTCACACCTAAGGACAACCTTTCACCTTCCACGGCACCGGCTGATGTACTGCACACGTACCACGTCCGGGTGAGAGGCATCGACGCCGACGCCCCGCCTGAATCACAAATAACCGAAGGGGAATACAAGGAAGGGGACATTGTCTGGGTTAAGACTCCACGTGGTAAATGCACGACCAAATTTGGAACCGGACGTGTGACCGAGGTGGTGAGTCAGCAGTTAGTGCGGGTCAATGGAACGCCTCGTCATGTTAGAGACCTGCGCCCTTTTTTGGGCTCAAATCCCACAACTGACGAAGAAGACACGGAGGATAGTGAACAGCCAATATACATAGAGTTGGATTCAACAACCAATCACTCAGATAGCGGTAGTTTGCCAATAGATCGGGACGTGTCTAATGAGAGCTCCTCTGATGAAGAAGTTCAACCAATCCCCTTCGGAGGAGCACCGGAACAAAAGACCGTATCCTCACTGTCATCTGTGTGATCAGGAGATCAGGGGAGTGTGGCGGACATGAAACAGAACCTGGGACGAGCACAACTGGTCGCGACTTGCCTTGTCCCCGCCAAAAAAAGAGCCCGTATTTGCTTAGCATGTAAAGCTACTGCAGTTGAAATGAGGGAGAGAAAAAAAGCACTTACCGCTCTGCCGTAATCCATCCTCGGCCAGATAACGTAAAAGAATGAGGGGGGACTGACATCGCATTTTTATGCAATAATGATGCAATGCATTATGGGACATGGACGCAATGAACTATGGGATCACAGGAAGATGCAAGGGATTATGGGTACATGAACAACTATAAAAACAACTACTTTTTTCCAAGTCAGCAAGTTCTTGGAGGGACGTTCACGGTTGACAGCTAGAACGGGCAGTTAGTGTGATTTGGAGACAGAACTCAGGAAGGAACGACTCAAGTTTGAAATACCAGCTGGGAGAGCTTGAATTTACTCGCTGGTTACTGTTTTCTTCATTTGCCTCAGAAACTGAGCTGCTATATCAATTTTTGAACAGTGTAGTATGATGTCAGGATAGACATCAGAGAAGATGATTGCATCAGTATATTTTATCTGGAGGTCACTACCAACAGCTGAATTGGGAGAAGGCATAGGACTTCATGCCCACAAATGAATTTTCAAGCACGGGAAAGATTTGTAACACATGCAGTTATATAAACCACTCCAGAATGGAGTTGGGTAGTCTCTCATATGTCATAGTTGGAGAATGTAACATCCATATATTGGATACAGACTCTGTGGGGCCACACCATGCACTGGCTGAGAGTAAGTATGTCACAAGTTGAGTATCTTAAATATGAAAGATTCAAGTCTTTGGATATCATATTGCCTACATACCCATTTCGTCACAAATGGAACTGTGGAATGAGTAGTTATGGTTAGATGCAGAAATAAATAACACTGTCCAGCAAACAGAATTGACAAAGGTTGCAATAACAAGAGAGAAAAAAAAAAAGAAAGGAATTTGGTAAAAAGAACATGAAGCAAGCAAACAATATGTGCAAGACAAATCAATAGTAATGTGGCAAAAAGTTTGCAAACTAAAAATTGGCATTGACACACAAAAGCAAGTTTGGACAAGCAAGCATAGCATTCTGACTTCAAGACAAAATAGATTGTACTGAGTCATATGAAACTGCAAACAGGCCTATTTTATTAGCTAAGAAACAAATCTCAGCATGCATTTGTGTGCTTCTGTCTGGAGAGGGGTAAGTTTTTTGCCGTCATTCTTACACAGATTGAAATCAACAGGAACTAAGTCAAGATAAATTTGGGCCTATAGAATCAGACCAACCTTAACAAATCATTTGAACTACTACTATTATTATTATTATTATTATTAATGTGCCTGTGCCATCAAAAAATACCGCAACTGTAAGAAAGTTTTAATAGTGAAATGCAATTAAAGGTTTTGAAACCATGTATTGAAATTCAGTTTCCAAATAGTGAAATGCATTAATTAAAGGTTTTGAAAAATATATATTTTTGTCAAATTTATTACATGTAAACAAATGGATATTTCAATACAGAAAGTTTCAGGATTCAAAACTTAATTCACAATTAGTTCCTTAAATTAAAATGGAAAAAGAACCAATCCATGTTTGCAGATCTCTAAAGTCATTTCATCAACTAATTCCTTTATCACTAATTCATTTCCTTACTACTAAATTTCTTTAAAAGATTTTTTGTTATATTATATTTATTACATAACAAACCTAACAATTAACATGTATTCCATTCTATTACATAATGAATCATAAACATTTTATCCTATCTAATTATATAGGGTGAGGAACAAAAATATAAATACATAACATAAATAATACATAGTTTCTTTTTGCATGTACTCTGTATGAATATGACCTGTTTTGGTTTATATAGTATTTATTATTTATATTATTATTATTATTTCTATCATCATTATTATTATTATTATCATTATTATTTCTATCATTATTATTTATATTTCAAAGTTTGTTAATTTTTTTTTTTTTTTTTTCCTCCGAAGATTCATAACTCCTTAGTGTGTGTGCTGTATTAATAAGACAATTTTCTGTATGTCTCTTAAGCTTTTCAGGATTCTTTCAATGTGTTGTTTTGTTCCATTTTTTATAATTTCTTATTACCACTGGTATATTCTTGTTTTCAATTTCACATTTTTCTATTTCAAAAAATAGTTTTCAAATTCCTTGGTTGCTATTGTTACAATCCGCTGGACAAGCCAACTTCTTTCTGGTTTTTGAAAATGGAATTTTTCTGTCTGTGTGGATGGTATAATCCCATAGAATGGTGACATCTTCTATTTCTGTAACCTGTTTGAACATTTTCCAATTTGCACATTGTCCATGCATTTATATTCATTTGCAGATCTCTAAACATCCTGATTTGGTCTATTGAACTCACATTTTTATCCAAATTATGAACCTATTTGCCTGAAAATTCCTAGTGAAAAGACTCTGGTCAACCTTCAATTTCAGACTTTATCAGATAATTCATTTTTGTCTTGCCAGCGTTGTTTCATCTGTTCAAGGGCTTTATCCTTGGCTTTCTTTTTTTCAAAATTTGGTTCTTTTCTGTTTTGATTTAAGAATTTTTAAATGTTGTTTGTATTTACTGCCTTCTTTTATTATTTATTTTTTCTTTCTGTTTTCATGTTGTTTTTCAAATTTTATCATCCAGTCATTTGTTGTTTTTCAAATAAGACCTCTTCCACCTTCTTTATGTATGGGGTCTACATCAGCCTTTTGATGATGTCAGTTGGCTGGTAATCTCTTATACTTAGAAAAGAAGCTTTCTTGTTTTAGATTTTGTCTGATGTCATTTAGAGTCATTCAAGATGTTGAAACTACCACTAATGAATCATTCTGAGAATTCACATTTTATCCTTTTACGCACTATTTCTTTCATTTTCTAATTATATAGGTTCTAAATCTTTTATTGTTACAGGAAACAAAAATATAAATACAAATTGAACATAAATAATTTTACATTTGCAGAAGACCTTCCAGCTTTCATTCCTAGCATGTTTTAAGTCATCCATGTATAGAATTTTCTTTTGATGAACCTGTTTTTAAGTTTATATAGTATTTATTATTTTATCATTATTATTATTATTTCTATTATTATTTCTATCATCATTATTATTATTATTTCTATCATCATTATTATTATTATTTCTATCATCATTATTATTATTATTTCATCATTATTATTATTATTATTTCTATCATTATTATTATCATTATTATTTCTATCATTATTATTTTATTATTTCTATCATTATTATTTATTATTATCATTATTATTTCTATCATTATTATTTCTATTATTATCATTATTATTTCTATCATTATTATCATTTCTATTATTATTTCTATCATCATTATTATTATTATTTCTATCATCATTATTATTATTATTTCTATCATCATTATTATTATTATTTCTATCATCATTATTATTATTTTTCTATCATTATTATTATTTTCTATCATTATTTTATTATTTCTATCATCATTATTATTATTATTTCTATCATCATTATTATTATTATTTCTATCATTATTATCATTATTATTTCTATCATTATTATTATCATTATTATTTCTATCATTATTATTATCATTATTATTATTATTATTATTTCTATCATTATTATTTCTATTATTATCATTATTATTTCTATCATTATTATTATCATTATTATTTCTATTATTATTTCTATCATCATTATTATTATTATTTCTATCATCATTATTATTATCATTATTATTATTTCTATCATTATTATTATTATTTCTATCATCATTATTATTATTTCTATCATTTATTATTATTATTTCTATCATTATTATCATTATTATTTCTATCATTATTATTTCTATCATTATTATTATCATTATTATTTCTATCATTATTATTATCATTATTATTATCATTATTATTTCTATCATTATTATTTCTATTATTATCATTATTATTTCTATCATTATTATTATCATTATTATTTCTATCATTATTATTATCATTATTATTTCTATTATTATTTCTATCATCATTATTATTATTATTATTATTTCTATCATCATTATTATTATTATTATTATTATTATTTCTATCATCATTATTATTAATTATTATTATTTCTAATCATTATTATTATTATTTCTATCATTATTATGATTGTCTGTCTAATGTCAACTATACTGTTTCTATTTTTCCTATTTTTTCTAGATAAAAAATAGTTTCAAGATGGAACCTGATGCTAAATTAGTCACTGTTCATGATAATTTATACAATGTAATCGAACAAATGACAACGGCTGACATTGAACAGTTGAAATTTCTATGCTTGGGTATTATTCCACTTGGAACTCTTGAGAAAATGGAAATTACTGATCTGTTGAAGAATTTGAATGAAAGAAATTTAATTTCTAAAGATAATTTTGACTTCTTAGCTGTATGCTTAATATTAATAGGACGAATTGATATTGTTCAGCACATGGGCTATGATGACAATTCAGTTAAAAATCTTTCTGATCATCTGAAGAAATATCAATCTATTGCTGGTTTAGACGCCTTCAGGTAAGTTTTATCTCATTGCTTCTTTTGATTTTCCTTATGACAATTATATGCCAACCAAATCAACTAATTTAACTCTTTATTTTCAATTTAGAACTGTTCTTCAGAACCATTCATTTTAAAAATTTTTTTTTTTTTTTAATGTGAGACCCAAGCGTGGATGATAAAAAAAACACCCATGACCAGGGGCCTTGACAATGTTATTTTGATAAGTAGCAAATGGCGAAAAAGGTGTCATTACCATCGCAGAAAAATTCTTAGTGGATAAGGGAATCGACTATGTTCTGGCGCCGAATTTGTGTTATCGGGGATAGATAATAGCCGCTTAATGCTGGCAAAACATCTAATTAGCAAACCACAGCCCGACTAGCTAACAAAACTCCAATTGAAAATGTTATTTTGATAATTGACAAAGAACAGGTGAAATACAGGGCTTTAGATAGATAAGAAAAATTAACCGTGTCGTCTGCTAAGCCACCCACGAAGTAACGGCTGACCGTCTTTTTTTTTTTTTTTTTGACAAGACATTTTCGGTCATGATAACAAAACTATGTTATCAGAAATTGGCACCAAAGAATGACTAGAACAATGGAACTGTTTTTTTTTTTTTTTTTTTTTTTTTTTGAGACTACGAACGACTGTGTTGTGCTAGTCAACCACCCATTCTGATAATTAGCAAAAATCTGACTGACGAAGTCCAGATGAAGAATAGAGGTTATGACACTACTGGTCGCATTGTTCTGTTGGCGGCCAGAGAAGACGAAAGCTGCGATTAGGAAAAGAAAAAGATAATAATTATTATTTTTTTTTTTTTTTTTTTTTTTTTTGAGCAATATATTTTTTTTTTCTGAAACAAAGCACGCTGGATCGCACACGCCCGGCTGGACATCATTGGCCGAGTGGTGATCACGTGACGCAAGGAGGAATGCCGCCACCACCCACCTAGAGGATGGGTATGAGAGGTTGCTACGAGGAAGTGGGGAGGACAGTTGACGCCCCTCTGAAGCATGGTGAGAAGATGGGAGTAAGAGAAGACTCCCAAAAATGGAAAGAAGTGGAAAATTCCTAAACAAAAATAAAAGTGGATAGGTATTTAGAATTATCGAGGAACCTCCGACACCGACAAACCCACCCCAGTTTTGATCGGCGTCCATATAAGCAAAGTCACAGTGAGCAGAAATCAGTTGAGTTGGGGTTAAAAAGACAGGCAAACAATTGAGCTGTGAGCTCTGAGACAGCCTCGTGGAAAGCTGACTTAAGATTTGCGCAGATTCCAAACTCATCTTCAATCCAAGAACAATTATTTTGAAGAGCGACTTAGATCCAGACCACCAAAATAAGTTTTTTTTCGACTTTCGCCTGAAGACACACCAAGAACCAATTTCTTGAAGAACAGACAACTTAAAGTGTTAAAACTTGCCTAACAAAAGAACAACGTGTCACAATCCATATAGCAGGTCGGGAGATAGACGCTGTCCTATGTATCCAGTAACTAGACATAAAGTTTTGTTATCCTTTTTTCTTTGATACCTTGAACTTTTGAGTTATCATTTTATTTTCTTTTATGCATATTTGTGCGGTGTCACCCTCGGTTGAACTCAATTTGCATTACGGCCCCAACTACTGATTGATTTTGTCTGCCTAAGATCAATTCTGGCGTGGGTAGGCAGACTGGAGATCAACGATTACTTTGGTAACCAGACGTTAGAAGTGAGTTAGGAACGACGAGGCTGATATCGAATCTAACCAGATTCCCATCCGAATCACCAAAAGGTTAGAACGTCACATTTGGGTGCCGCGACCGATACCAAGCCAGTTGGTTGTCACAGGATGGGACAACACGACTGACGCAAACAGGCGGACGTCACGTTTGGAGCGGCGACACCCGAATGAAGCAGCAAGGAGTGAGCGAAGGCTGTGTGTTTAGGGACGTCACATAATCATTTCACCCCAAGCAAGGCAAGAATGCCACTAGTATGCAGGGGATTACAGAAAGTGAGAGAAAAAACTGAGTATAGGGAGGATTCAAAAAAAGAACAAAAGATGAACAGGATTCAGAAAGATAGAAAATGACAATTGACATTGCATTTAAATTTTTGAAGATTGTAGTTTTCAGGGAAACAAGTAAACAGAAGGGAGTTCCACAGGCAGGAAGTGCGAGAAAAGAAACTGTTGGAGTAGAAGTGGCAATTGCATTTAACTATTTCAACAGTAAAAGGGTAGGACCTAGATGCCAATCTAGTAGTACATTTAAATTCATATAATTGGGGTGCCAGAGAAAAATGCTCATCAAAGCAATTGCCATGAAAATATTTGTAGAAAAGACAGAGGGAAGTGACACCACATCAGTGACAAAGTAACTGAAGTCGAGATGCCAAGTCAAGATCTATAACATTGCAGATCCTTCTTTGGATTTTGTCAAGAACCTCAAGATGAATAGCAGGAGCACCAGATCAGATATGGCAACAGTATTCAATGCACAAACAAATATTTGATTTGTAAATGTGCAAGGTGAACTCTGACAAGAAAAATTTTCTGGTGCAATACAGTGACCCAAAATTCCTTGCAGTAAATGCAGCTATTGATTTGATTTAGTTTCTTCACTTCAAGTCAGTTGAAAACATGAGGCTAAGAAGGTGCATTGTGATACTCTCTTCTGAAGTTCAACATCAGCCATTTTGATGATAGACAGAAAAGTTTTTCTATGCTGGTTAAATGAGAGCAGTTTTGTTTTGGCAGCATTAAAATATTGGTTTACATAAAAATTTACCTTAATTTCTCTTGGTTATCATTATTTACACATTTTTTATTAAGACTATTGTCCTCATCTTTGTTGTTGTTTTCACAACATTTCAACCATTGTGCCCTTCATCAGGTTTATATCAATCTGGCTAACCTAAAGGGTATTCCGAAATGGGGGATCCATAACTGAGCCATACCAAAAGTAAGAACTAAATGATATCCCTACACATGAACAGTGGAACAAGAACAGTCTACCCACATAGATTAAATATTGATCTGGGTAACTTACAAGAAATTCTGAACTGAACATTCAAAATTTCTTGTAAGTTACCCAGACTGATGAAAGTCAGAGGACACAGCAAACAAAACATTGTGATAATAACAATGAAGATAAGGCCAATTGTCCAAATATAGTGTAAAACTCCTGTTTCTAGTTAGTAAAATATAACATATACATCATAACTACAAAGTGAGGCATTTATATATAGCTAGAAGGATTTATTATCAGAAGGATTTGGTTGTACTAGTTCAGTAGATATATATAAGTTTTTGTAATGTGGTTGTTAAATGTTTCTGTTTTTTGTGTTTGTCTTGGTGAATGAATAAATTATTTGCAAGTGATAAGTCTATCATTAAAAGGTAATATTAAACATGAGAAGGTGATATTTATGTAAAACTTATGCAGGGTTCTTCATCTCAAATCCACATGCTCTCTTTGTGAAAAGAGAAAGTCTCTAAATTTTCTGCCAGTAGGATAATAAAGTTACTTGCATTATACTAATCTTTATTATGCTCAACTTTAAATTGTACTAGATCAAATCAAATGAAATTAGGATGGATTTTTTTTTTTTTTTTTTTTTTAGATATTAAACATTTTGTGGGATGCACAATTATCTCATGCTGTTACACAATTTGGACAATTTTGATGTTACATGCAGTATAGAAGGATATATTATTAACTCAAATCCACATGCTCTCTTTGTGAGAGGTCAGTGAAAAAGAATGTTTCTAAATTTCCTACCAGTAGGGTAGTTTCATTTTTTTTTTTTTTTTTTTTTTATGGAATCATGGGAATTTTTTTTTTTTTTATTTCTCATGATCACAAGAGCCCAATACAATTTTGTCTATTTTGATGCCAATAGATGTTTTGTTTGTATTTAGCATCCATAATTGTAAAATGTGGAAATGTGAAAGGTCCCACCCACAAGATGAATAAATAAAAATGCATTTTCTTTTTCTCTGTGGAAAAGTGGTGTCAAATAAAAAAAGAAAATCTAATTTGCAACCCAATTCAAGGTAATATTTCTAGCAAAAATCATACAATTTAATCTTTTTTATTTAAGTTTCTGTACTTAAAAAATTAGATACACAAAATTAAGATGTAGTTTAGCATTAAATTTAAGCTGTAAATTGTGAATTCCATATCATAAAGACAAACACAAAATTGGTGCCTAATTTTGCATTATATATGTATTATAAATCAAACCCCTACTTTAGAACCACTTAACTCACCCCTATTTTAAAACTTGATTTTTATCAAAAATGAAAATTTTTCAAAATAAAAGGTCATAAACAGGGATTATGACCTTTTGGGGGCCTTAGGCTAATTAAATTATGTCCCCTCCCTTCTGATGGAGCCACCCTCTAATTTGTCCACATCCACATCCCATTTACTCATGATATATTTTAGCAACATTTACATTGCCTTAAGTAAACTAAAATAGTTATCTTCTGTTTGTCAAAAATATGATTAAAGAAATACAAGTTTACTAAATTAGCTAAATTAGCACATATTTCAATACAAGCTTAATTAAAAAAAGAAAAGAAAAGAAAAGATGCAATTCCACAGCAAAAATTCCACCAACCTCTTAATGTTCTTAATTTTATTTTGTTTTATTTTTTCCTAATATTTTTTTATCCCTATTTTCTTAGATGCAACATCTCTGCTTGAACTCTGTAATTTTATTTATTTATTTTCCTCAATAGGAGTAGATAGGTTTACACTCCACCCCAATGTTTTGAACAACAGTAGAGGTTTTGTTCTCTGTTCAGGATTGGGTTTTTGGTTCCTTTTTAAAGTCTTTTTATTCTCTTTCACTCCTAATCACCCTTCACATCTTAGTAGTGTTGTCACCTTGCTTGGGATGAATCGATTACCTTTTGAGCCTTATATAAGGTAAACATTAGTTAAAAAAAAAACACACACACACACATCATAATATATATTAGTTTAGGCTTTTTTTTTTTTTTTTACTAAGTTTTTCAGGAGTAATTTTTTCAGGGGTACTCAATAAATATTTGTAATAACAATTTATTGAAAAAAAGTTTAAAGTTCTATTCATTATACTATTATACAGTGAGACCATGACTATTATTTTAGTCTCACCATTTGTCAGGAAGAAGATTTCTTGATGTTATCAGACTGGAGGGGTCGATCCCAGCATGCAGCAAAGTGTCTGAAAACCATACCACAGGTTGACCCAAGTCTTGTGATTGAAATTGGGTAGATGGAACTCTTGGGAACCATCAGTAGCTGTGTTAACATGAAGTCACAAGTCATCATGACTGAGGGATTGAGCGTGCTGGCCTTGTTCTAATTGTTGATCATGATAGATAATACACTCTTTCCCAGAAACTGTAACTAAGGTCTGCTCAGCTTAGTTGCAGTATAAACCATTGGTGGGCTCTGTGGGTGTTGAGCAAATACAATTGTGCCTGAGCAAGCATATGACATAGGGATTGGCTAGCCACCATAGTAGACGGGTATCCTTGAATACAAGTGGCCATCTATACATACAATTTGTCTTTTTAGTTTGTTCTTAAACAATGAATTTTACTTAACCAATTTTTTTTTTGTTTTATTTCCCATATAGAATTCTGCTTTTTAATTTGGCTGACAACCTAACAAAAGAGGAAGTAAAAAAGATTACTTTTTATCTTCATGGAAAATTAAATTATTCAAAAAGAAAGATGGACATGTGCATCACAGGATTTGATCTTATGACAGTTTTTGTAAAAGTTAACTATGTGAGCTCCCAAAACTTACGTAACTTACATGATGTAGCAGACTTATTGGTGCGTAAAGATTTGGTGCAAAAAATTGATATGTATTCAGGTAATGTATATTCATTTGTTTTTTTGTTTTTTTTTTTTTTAGAAAAATTTCACAATTGCTTTTCTCATATACATGGTGTGAGGGGTAAATTGTCATCATTTTATATTTTTAATTTCATACATGCGCATTGTTTGTTTTTGTTGACTGTACAGTATACTAGGGTCAGTTGTGCACCATCTAGGTGAAAAAGAGCACCATGACACAATTCCCTCTGCCACAAATATGAAAACAGCATGCTGTACTGCTTGGCACTTGCACCAGAAGCTCCAATACAAATATTTCAGAGTGTTTGGGCATCAATCTGAGGACAGTGCAGAAGATTCGGAAAGATTTGGATGAGTCTAATTGTGATTACAAAGATGTTTAGAGTGATTACTAGTGATGGCAACATTATACCTCCATTCATTTTCCCACAGGGCCTTGGACTCAACACAGAAGTCTACATCAAGTACCTTGAGGAGTTAGTGCTGCATTGGGTCAAAAGGTTGGCTGCTGGAAAACACTGTCTGGCAACTGGACACTGCACCATTCCACACAAATAGGGGAACCTAGTCATGGCTGTCAGACAATTTCTACAACAACATCGCCCCTTATATCTGTCCACCTAACTCCTCAGATTGCACCCCACCTTAATTATTACGTGTGTGGTGCAGTTGAATAAGAGACCGAAAGATGAACTGAAGGCAAAGATTATGGCAGCATTTACCAACTTAAACAAGGACACCACCCAGAAGAATTGCAGGAGATTTCGAAGTCATCTGGAAGCCATAGTTGCAGTCAATGGTGATTCTGTTGAATAGATTTACTCTTTAGTATTTCAAGATATCTAATCTTTATTCAGTAAAAATTTCATTGCTAATCATGCATTACTTAAGTAATACACATTTATGTCTTTATTGTTTCTGTTCCATAATATATATGGCTGCTATTTTATATACACAAAATAAATTTGTGTATTTAGGCAGCAAATTCTCTTTAATCATGTCTGATTAAAGAAATTACAAACATTTACGTATGCTTATTTTTAGCATAGTCCTTTTCATATTCATGAATATGTTTCTGTGTATTACTGAGATCATTATCAGGGGTGCAGCTGGTAAGGCAAAAACTGTGTATCTATCCATTACTAAATTTATTCTTTTTGCATTTAAATGCAATGGCTCACACACACACACACACACACACATGCACACATACATAAAAATATATAAGCACGCACACATACATAAAAATATATAAACATAAAACACGCACATATATATCAATGCACACTCATATATGTACAGTGTAACCCGGATATAAGAGATTTTCTCTGGTCCCAAATTAGAGCCTGTGCTAATGTATATAAATTAAACCAAACCCAGATATAAGAGAAACTCGGATATAAGAGACTTCTTCTCCGATCCCAACAACTCTTATATCCGGGTTACACTATATATATATATATATATATATATATATATATATATATATAATATAGACATACAGGCATGCACACACACACACACTCTAAACACATATTGTTACAACAGTACGGAACTCTAGGTGAATATATACAAAACAGATTCCGGAGGTCACAGTTTGACCTACCAGCAATAATCCTTTGATTGTGCAAAGATTTGTACTGCCTGGAAGGTGTACCAATAATGGACAATAAGCTCTTCATACCCAAACAACTACATGCAAAGGTACTTGAATCACTTCACTCTACACACCAGGATGTTAATGGCATGCTTGCAAATGCCAAACAATGACTGTTTTGACCTGGTTTGGATACAAGTATTTGGCATTGCCAAACTTGTAATCCAATGGCTCCAACACATCCTTAGGAACCCTTGGTGGCAAATTCCCCTTCCGGAGAACAGTGGCAGAGTTCTACAACCTGCATGGAAAATGTATGTGATATATGCATATCAGTACACAAGGTAGGTGGAAGTGACCCTAATGTCATCTGTAAAGGCCAGAACAGCATGCAACACCCTCTGGAATTGATTCTGCACATATGGTGCCCCAGAAGAAACTTCATCTGATGGCAGTGCACTTTTCAAGGCACAGAAATATAACACATTCTTCAACAATTGGGGGCTAAATCATCATCATCATCATACTACCCCCAGAATAATGGTTGAGCAGAACTGGCTATCAAAACAGCAAAGCAAATATTGACAGACATCACTGACAACCATCGCATGGCCAGGGTTATACTAACCCACGATAATACTCCTGTTATACAATAAAAGACCATCTCTCTGCCTTACAGAATAAGTATCAAATCCATAAGTGATGGAGGGAAATGGCAATGATCAAAAGACACATGAAGAATGAACAATGCTACAACAGACAATTATCCACTTTGGGAGCTAGAAGTTGGGGAATCAGTTCAGCTACAGAACTAAGACAGCTCTTAACCATATTGATGGGCAAAAACTGGGCAAGTTGTGGATATGCTAGTCAACAGACAGTACCATGTAAAAATTGATGGGAGCAACTAGGTAATCATGCACAACCGCCACTTCCTCTAATAGATAAACCCAATTGCTGATGCCCCGTACTGCCACACACCAATGCCGGACAGATTGGACACACCAACAGGTTCTGGACCCCCACAGTGACAACTTGAGGATTGCCTCATATCCGTCAGTATTAGAAATGGAGGTAGAATATATGGGTGAATCGGAGATGGAAATGGATGAAAGCCAACACTCAAGATAACCACCGCCAAATCACAGCCCACATCGTGCAACAAGAACATCACGGCCACCGAGGACCCTATCTCTACAGATGCAAGGTCTGTCACATGAATACTCAAGGACATCCCCACAACAGACTCCAACCCATATATCTTGTGGTCTCAGGAAAGGCAGGACATGTGGAATAGGACAAAAGGTAGTCTTGCATGAAGAACTGTCCTAGAGGGTACACTGGCAATAGACAGATGAGTAGTCTGCCCTTGCCACATGAACCAGTATCCAAATACAAACGGCAGTCATTTGGACAGTGGCATCTGGTCTCTCTCCAGATATTATACGCACTTAATAAAATTACCGTATTGCTAGCATCAATAAGGCTCAAAAAGTTGCATAACATCAGGAATTCTGGCATAGATAACCTTCTTCTGGGGGTTACCCCAGGCCTATGAAAACCCTAAACTTCATTCTCAAGGACACACAAAAAATTTTCAAGACTTATGTCAGCAAAAAAACTGTCCTTGACACAGGCAAATACAGTAAGCACCTCTGCACTATTCATGAAGGGTCAGATTTTTGGCAATTACCTGGCCACTTAAGTCTCCAGACATGAACCCCCTTGATTATTATGTGTGGAGCAAAGTTGAGCAAGAGACCAACAAAACCCCTTGTAACATCAATGATAAACTGAAGGCAAGGATCATGGCAGCATTCACCAACTTAAACAAGGAGATCATCTAGAAGATTCGCTGGAGATTCCAAAGTTATTTAGACGTTGTGGCTTAAACCAACAGGAATTTTATTGAATAAATTTATTCTTTAGTATTTCAAGATATTTTTGTGTCATTTTGGTAATATATATATGTCATTGCTATTTTCATTTTTGTGTAATTTAGATGACAATTTATTCATTGCAGCGTGTAGTTAGGCTAATTATATGTATCCTTAGTCTCTACAAACTCTGGGTAAACATTAGCTGACACTAATTAGACTGGTTTATTTGTAAAAAGAAAAAAAATAGGAAATTTTTATTTACATTATTCAAACTGTTGTCCTCATCTTTACTGTCACATTCAAAACATTTTGGCCATTGTATGCTCCAGCCTTCTTCAGGTGATATTTGTTGGAATTTCAAACCAAATTCTATATTTAGTCCAAGGAGGTGGGGTAGATTGTTCTTCGAATCTCAATTATAGTTAAATTCACCTTAGTAACTGTCCAATGCTGGTATGTGGAATTACAACAATCTACAATAAAGATGTGGACAACAGTCCAAACAATGTAAATAATTACAATACTTCATCTCAGAAAGATAGGCAAATGTAGGAAATTTTTGTAAATTAGCATTCATTAGATTTTTCTCAAACCACATTTGTCTAAATTGAAAAATATTTATTTTTAATAAATTTGTATCATTTTAAATGTGAGTGTCCTGTTTATAAATACAATGTTAAATATTCTTAAAGACTTATCTGTACTTTATTTTATTTACAAACATCAAGATTGAAACTGTGCTTTTGTCATTAATAACTGAATACTATTGCAAGTTGGGAAAAAGGATGACATAACTAGTATGCAGTTATCAATGACATAAGCAAAGTTTCAGACTTGATATTTGTAAATAAAAATATAGTACAGATGACTCTTTAAGAAGTTAGGGACTAATTTGACAGTATTTATATTATGAACAGAACCCCTCTTCTAAAATGATAAAATCAATATTTTTCAATTCTAATAAATGTCATGAGTAAAAGATTTAATAAATGCTAACCTACAAAAATTATTACCCCAAATAATTTTCTCTATTTTTTTCACAAGTAGAACTCTAGTAGTGCCTATTAGTATACCAGATACCACCAAGATCACACAATACATGAAAGATATTTTCAAGTCGTTTTTAAAAAAAAAAAATAGAATTTGATATGCTGGTAAATATGTTAAACTCTGTAAATATTGATAAATATGAAAGTATTATCATTTTTTTATCTATTTTAACAGATAACAACAGAAAAATTGTTGACATAAACAAAGGTAAGAACTTAATTTAAAAACCAATATTTCAGCTATTGTGATTACTTGAAACAATATTGAAAAGTTTTTCTTTTTGTTTTTAACAATACATTAGTTTGCAGATCAATTTAAAAATAATTTTTGATCAGAATATATACTAAGTTATATAAACCATTTACAAATAATTTACATATTGACCTATTTATTTTCCATAATATAGCAAACCATAATACAGCCCAATTAGAAAGAGAAGGGACAACTCAATATCACTAAGTGAACATCAAGACAACTTAGGACTGAAACAATTCAATGCCAGAAAAACATAACTTTTTTTTTATTACCAAATAAAAGTAATTTATTAAGGATTAAAGCATTTTTAATAAAGAAAACTGAATTCTAAGATATTTTATAAACAATATAAAATTTGATGTAGTGAATTAATGAAATTATTTACTTTTGTTAAAAAATAATTTATTTTATTAAAAATAATTAAAAACAAAAAACTGCTTCATTTTTCAATTTACTTTATTAAAAAAAAAAAATTTAAAAACAAGTGTGTTTTATTGAATTATTTTTTATGTGTCTATTTACTTTATTAAAAAATAAATTTCTTTATGATTTACTTTATTAAAAATAATTAAAAACAAAACATTGGTTCATATATTACATAATGCCTTTTCAAATTCCTTATTTGAAGAAAAATATTCGCTAACTAGCAGCACGGCCCATACAGCAATCGCTATCACTTGACTTAAAATATTTACCCTTCCTTGCCTTTAAAGGAGTGCCCATTGCCATGCTCATGTTGCTACATGCCTTACTTCTTGCCTATCTCACACTGCAAATATTTTCTAAGCTCTATACTAAATATTAAATCTGTTACGAAAAAAGACCTAAACAAAATGAACACAAAACGATCAGCTTTAAAAAGGGACTCGTAACTGGAAAAACTGAATGAAAAAAGAATGTTAACAACAAATACTTTTTCACACCCAACACAGTTCTGCAGAATCAGAATCGACATTGAGTTTAAGCAAACGGATGAGCCAAGTGAGGTAAAGTGCCATGCAGATTTAAATTTTTCCCACTTATGACAAATGCAGCTATCGATTTTTGCATGCTAGTTAACATTCGTATCAGTCAGCTGTTGGCTCTCACTCTGGCCAGTAGAAAATGGCCGCAAACTACATGAAAACTGCTGTAGAAGCATGAAAAAATCGATTATTTCCACTATTGATGGGAGTTGGGAAATGCAAGGTTGGTCTTGGCCTTCCCACTAACTTGGAGCATGTGCATGTAAATTTTGGTGCAAATCCATCAAAAATTGCAGGCGTGCATCGTTACACACACACACATACATACACACATCCTGCCTTTTATAGATAGTGATTAAGGTTTTAATTCTTAATAAATTAACTTTATTCAGTTATAAAAATTTATGTTTTTCTGGTGCTCAGTAAACAGTGTTGAGTTATCCTTCACACCGATTAGAAACGGCTAAACTGATCACTAAAACCCTTGATAAATAAACATTATTGCTTCTACAAGGAAGAGTCAATTGTTTATTTTTTTATAACCCATCCTTTTTTGCTTCTGGGAGTATTTCAGTTATTTTTGCCTAAATCTTAAACAAAACAAGGGAAGATTATTAGTGGAGGGAGATACCTAGCCAGCAACCCCAGAACATGCGTCCAGTGAAAATGGGTATCATTATAAATTTCTTTCATAAAGAGAAGCCAAAGATTGATTTAGTAATAAAAAAAATACTATTTTAAATAGTTGCTTGCTTAGTAGAATATTGATAAATAACTATCAATAAATATATTACTATTTTCTTTTATCTATTTTAACAGGTATCAAAACACCAGAAAACCAGAAAACCTCTAAAGGTAAGAACTGGATTGAAAAATAATAATTCAACTACTGTGATTACTTGAGACTTTTTTTCTCTTTTTTTAGTGAGGTTCACCCTGTACAAGGCCCAAGGGCCACTTGAGGTAGAGGGTTACAGTTTATGTGGATAGGTAGGTAAGATAACAGTTAACCCTAGAATTGAACAGATTAAAATTGTAGTGATCAGGGAAACATCCTCTTAGAAGTCAGTTCCACAGAGCACTGATTCACAGGAAGAAGCTGTTCAAGTTGAGCTTACTTCTCACTAATGAAATACAGAGGGAATGAGAGTTGTTTGCTACAATGTGAGTGGCATAGTGGTCCTAGCCATGAAGATTAGAACTGGTGGAATCAAGGAATGCAGTTCATCCAAGCACTTTCCATGGAAGTAACAATAGAGTAGTGAAAGGCTTACCACATTCCATCTGTAAGAGGAGGAGTTGCAGGGTGAAAAATAATTTGTTACCCACAAGGACATGAAGATGCTTTTGGACTCTATCAAGACTGGAAAGTGAGGACTGGGTAGCTCCTACCCACATATGACAGCAGTACTCTTTTTTTCAGCCTGATCTGGCTCTTGTAAAGGTAGAGGATAGTATAATTAGTAAGGTAATTACTAGTGCAGTACAGAGAGCCAACTATTTTTCCTGAATCTTTACCAATGGAGCGAATGCATGTTCCAATTGAGCTCTGGTGTGAGTTTAAAGCCCAATGGGTCCAATATCTGGTCATCACTAGTTTTAGAGATTCACACATTTATTATCAGCATAGATATTTACAATTGCTCATTATGCTGGATGTTAACAACTACTTCCAGAGACCTAGCCATAAGGGAAGGACTTATTACTGTGAAAATTCTTGCAGTGATTCCATAACTAGAGAGCTTTAGCAGCAACCCTTTATGTCACACCTTGTCAAAAGCCTTCAAAATATCTAATGCTATGTTCCTTGTGTATTTATTGTCCGGCACCTCACTGATCCAATGTGTATTGGTAGTTAGAACATCAAAATTGGATCTGGATGATCAAAATCCATACTGCTTGTTGTTCAAGAGGCTGTTCTTCACTAGTTACTCAACAACCTTATTGTTGATTAGAGCCTCAAAAAGCTTGCTAACGATACTGAGGAGACTGATGGCCCTATACTGAGACAGACTTCAGTGCTCACCTATGTTCTTGAAAACTGGGCATATGCTTGACACTTTCTAAAAGCTTGGGAGAGATTTCTCCTTCAAGTAGTGATCAAATAACTTTACTAGGATTGGGGATAGTTCCAGGTTGATATTCTTAAGGAGAACCACTAGGATTTTGTCTAGGCCAGTGGTCAAGGCTTTTGATATGTTGACACTTCTCAGGCTGTAATGAAAATATTACTGAGATTGTAGAAAGGGTATGTCCTTTGTCATCTAATGTTGAATTTGATGCAAAGATTGAGAAGAGCTTCAAAGAAGATATGACCTTGGGATCATTTATAATATTGGGCACCATCACTTAGCTTCTGTTCATAATTTGGTTGAAGATCTTCCAGAACTCTCAGGATCCAATTTGTTTGTTTTCAACCTTACCCTGAACCACTCGGGCATAGCTACACTTTGCATTTTCCAGAAATTAATTTAACGCTACAGTAGTTTGCATGTTGAATTTTTTAAAATTATTATTCCTCAAAATATACTACAAATTATATAAGGCATTTACAAATATTCTGCATATTATCTAAACCTGTTTATGAAATGTATCAAAAATGATATAATCGTGCTTGCCTTGTTGACATCTGTTATTTTACAAAGGAAAGTTATATATATTCTTCATTTCATATTGTTCTCTTTCACAAATTTTTGTTTTCTCTCTTAAATCATTATTTTCTTTTTCTAAATCATTGTTTTTGTAGTGACATAGGCAAAATGTTCTTAGTCCAGTGACTACTAATATGTCAGACATCACTCAATACAGAGGTAGAACTTCTACATCACAGTCTAGAAGATGTTACAACAATATGGCATTGCCAATAGGATCTCTGACATTGTTGGATGAACTGGACTTTGTATAAATATTTTTGCCCAAACCCCCCTATATGCAAGCTAAGACGTTAAAAGATCACAAAGTTGCAGAAGGAGAGAATACAATTACAGATCTATTTTTGGCTATAGCAAGATGTGATCTCTGTCATGGCATATCCCAAAGACTTAGATTTGAACTTTTTCACAAGTTTTAGACATTATGAAGAGAAATTCACAGTTGATTACTTAATGAAGCAACTGAGCAATGCAACTGTGGCAGTGAACAAAAGACAGATGTGTTGGATTGGTTGACTTGTGCTACATTGTTTGAGAGGAAAGAAACAGATTGGCGAAATTTATTCCAAGCATGAAGAAACTGACTACAAGCTATTTCAACACTTAAAACTCATGGACCAATTCGATTTGAAGTTGATACCAGAGTTTAATGGTTTGTCCACTGGCTTATCTGTTGTTGAGCAGGTGGAGAAGGCAGAGATCATTTGCCGACTATGCAAATTGAAAGAGCCAGCAACAGTCATTCTTCTGAGGCTGTCGGGGATTCTGACACTGTGTACCAGCAACTTAAGGATAAAGAACAAAATGACTTTACTAAGTTAAAACAGGCTCTTTATATGACCTTTGGAATGGACCCATTTGCAGTATATCAACAATTTATTGGGTGCCAACTACTCCCCAATGAAATGGTTGACATTTACCTGGCTGATTTATGGAAACTTTCTGTGCTGCTTGGAGACATGAATGCCCGGATACTGGGGTGCACCTTTTGTAGCTGGATTGCCAGATGATATCAGTCAGCTTTTGCAAGCAACATTCAAAATTGATGAACTATTGGTCAACCAGCTATTGGCCCAAGCCATTCACAAAGGATCAGAACTAGTGGTAGCAGCAGCAGCAAGAACGAATGGCAAAGCAGTATCTCAACCAGAAAGACATATGCCAAGTGATTCCTCTGCCACTGGCAATCATGATATGTTACAAATGTGGTGGTCCAAGCCACTTTGCAAAGGAGTGCCAAAGTGGTGTGGAGATCACGAGTCAGAAGGCACAGAGACAGCTGAGGTTCTGTCGTTTTAACAAGTTAGGTCATGTAGTGCAGAATCGTTTGGGAAATGTATTCAGGGACAAGGTATAATCACCAGCTTGTTCCCTATAAGACAGTAAACTGGAGTTGTTACAGTTTACACAGAGCAAGGTAACCATGCTGAAGTTGGCATTCAAGAAAACCCTTTTGGCTATGATCTGCTGCTTGGGATTGATGCCATACATGAATTAGGTGGTGCTGTGATTACACTATCTGGAGATGTGCAGTTTGGTAGAAAGATAGAATCATGGGCAGCAGTCTCCATTGAAGAATCTGACTTCTGTGCTACTTTTGACCACAAAGAGAAGGCCTGGAAATGGATTATGAATAAAGTAGTGGAGCATTTACAGAGTGCAGTTCCAGTATATGTAGTATCTAACAAGATCAGGGCTGCATATGAAGTGGAATTGCAGACATGAATTGCTAATGGCTGGTTGATACCATATCCCGGAGAACATCTCAAATCCCTGAAGGGCCTGATCCCTTTGATCCCTCTTGCACAGCCCAACAAAGACAAGGTACACTCGGTCTTGGATTACCAAAAATTGAACCACTATATGGATGCCTTCACTGTAGATGCAGATGTATATGCTGTGAGGCATTAATGTGGGATTGCTTGATTTACGGAAGGCATATCATCAGATACACATCCATGAGTAACTGTGGCTGTTTCAAACAGTAATAATCAAAGGTAAAATGTACTGCTTGATGCATGTAGGATTCAGTCTCAATGTTGCACCTCTCATTATGAAAACCATCGTCAAGACTTTGTTGTCTCAAAAGGAAGTGACAATGAGAGCCACCTCATCTTATATTAATGATATATATGTAAATGAAAGCATGTCTGCAGATGATGTCAAGGAGAAACTAGAATCCTTCATGTTGACCAGTAAGGGCCCCAAGTCCTGAAATATGGGACTCTAGTATTGGGCCTTGATGTCTGGAGAAGCATGACACTCTATGGTGGAAGCAAGAGAGTGCATTTCCAGAGCTCCTTGCTGTAATTACACACCGTAATGTCTTTTTCACTTGCAGGAACTTGGTAGGACGCTATCCTGTATGTGGGTGGCCTTGTGCAACGACTGGAGTAATGAAGAGGCAATCGGCTGTGTTAACAATGGGATAACAAAGTGAATGACATCCCTCTCAAGCAGATGATGGCCAAAGTAATCACCAAAGTGCACCAAGATGATACCACCCAAGATGAGTGGTGTGTAACTGCAGAAATAGTTAACGCATGGACTGACACGAGCTCCCTAGCAACAGGCATTGTGTTGGGAAAACATGGTGCTATTCTGAAGGACATATGCTGGCTTCATCCAATAAACAATGCTCAGCATATCAATCTGGCGGACTAAAGGGTCTTAGTCTCGCACTACACTGACAATCTAAAGTGATGCACCTATATTCAAACTCGGTATGTGTTTTCCACTGGTTGATCAACACCTTGCCCATCAAATGTCAAGTAAGGACCAAAACCTTGAACAAGATGTTAATACAACAAAGTTTGGCAACCTTAAAACATTTAATTGATGAATACAATTTGGTTGTTGCAATCACCTTGATATATCTAGCCCCAGTACATTGGCAAAAGTGGATAGCAATCGGTAGCAGTTAGGCATTGATATCATGCACTACATTGGTATGCATTTCTTAACTCTCACAGTTTGTGGTTTGATGCATTTCACTATTTGGCATTCACTGGTATGCCAGGATGCATCAACTGTCATACGACAGCTACAGGCAGTATTCTGTGTTGAGATATTGACAGACAATAGCCCCAGCCTTTTCTGGCCAAGACTTTCATGCCTTTGTAGACAAATGTGGAATATGAGTGCAATACTGATGTGCCTATATTCCAGAGAGTAATGGTATAGTGGAGCAATGTCACCACACCATTAAAAGAATTGCAACTAGAACACAGTGTTCCTTTCAGGAAGCTGTGTATTGGTACAATGTGATCCTGAAAGATGACTCCACGCTGTCAACTGTACTAGCCAATGGAATTTACTAATACAAACAGAGCATAAATAGAATACAGGTATCACTATCACCTTCTAACAGTGTAAATAATCAGTATCAAGTGGATCAAGGCCTTGCACAGCAGATTTGGCAAAGGGTGAGTTGACCCCCAAACAGTATTGGTTAATGGAACACCATGCCATATAAAAGACCACTCTACCAATCTTCTGCTTCAGAAGACAGTAGAAATAGTATGTAATATGAGAGTGACTCAGAGACTCTGTTTTTCCTAAGGCCAGAGTCGGAAAGTGAGCTTTCAAACCCAGAGGAAGCATATCAGAAATGTGGGAGATGGGGAGAACACAGGCGAGGGTGCGACACTGATAGAAATATCTCCCCCCTTGCCTACAAAGAAGCATTTGCTAAATGCAACCTCCATCCCCTGTCATGTATGTGATCAGGAAATCGAAGGGAGTGTAACATGAGAGAAAATGGCTTACCTTCTGTTAGAAAACAGGTTTGAATGTCACACATGTAAAGTATCCCAAAAAGAAAACGGTGTCTTTACAAATCGTATATTTAAGAAACAATAGATCTCGGTCGTATACTTTCGTGAAACTCTTTTTTTTTTTTTTTTTTTTTTTTTTGCACCTATGCAAATTTAACCTGTCACTCAATCTATGAGAAGTGCTTAATGAAAGAGGAACTTTATTCCAAGCATGAAGAAACTGACTACAACTTCTATGTCACAAACAAGAAGACATCACAACAGTTTTCTTTTCTAAATCATTGTTTCCTTTCATAAATCAGTGCTGAGCTTGTCATGTAATGATTTAGTCACATGTTAAAATACCCATTTTTACATTGTTGCTTGCTTAGTAAATATTGATAAATAACAATAAATATATTAGTATTTTCTTTTATCTATTTTAACAGAAATCAAACCAGTAACCACTGGCATACGCAAAGGTAAGAACTGTATTCCAAACCAATATTTCAGCTGTTGTAATTACTTGAAACTATAACACTTAACCCAGTAGTCAATTCTGAGTCAGCCTGGTCAATATTGACCAGACATTCCAACCTTTGCCCCACATTGACTATACCAGCAGATGTCTTAGTTCTCAGGGTCATAGGATGATGAATTAATTGCAGGGTCAATTCCACACAGTTCGATACTGTTGCAGGTCAACAGTCATTCGTTGCTGTCCACTTCAGTCCACATCTTGCTCTGTCCATGTGTTTCTTGGTCACAGTTGGTAGGGATCGATTGTCAGTATCATAGCACTGATTCAAACCATGTCAAGCTTGTGCTATGATGGCAAAAAAATAGAAATTGTCTTTGCATATGAAATAAAAACAAAAAAGTCTTCAGGTTAATTTTTAATTTGGTTTATGTAGTTCTTTGTATAACAAAAATTAACCCTTCCAAATAAAATTTCTTTAGTGACACTTTGGCTATCAGTGTGAATTCTTAGAACAGTTCTTGTTATCTGGTTTGTGATATCAATTATCTCTCCAAATTTAGGAGATCTCCTCCTCCTACAGGTAGTAGTTGCAAATATTGGCCCATCTGTATTACTAATTCGTTATCTATGCCTCGCACTATTACTTCTGTTTGCTGAAAGAATGAAACAACATATTGCATCTTGCAAGTTTGGTTCTAAACATTATTACCAGCTCTGCAAGAGTGTACTGAACAGCAGTAAATCCACAATCCTTCCTCTATTCAATCAATTCAGAGTCCTAACTTCCACAGCTGATAAGGCTGAATACTTTGCTCAGAAATTCTCATCCAACTCAACTCTCAATTCACCCGGAGTACCCACACCTGATTTACCCCCTAGAACTGAGGCTCTATTGAGTGAGATGAGCATAACCCTGTCAATAGTATTGGACATCATCTTTAAATTAGACTCTCATAAAGCAAGTGGTGGTGACAGGATACCAGTCGTAGTCATAAAGAAATGTGCTCCTGAGCTGGCTCCAGTTCTCTCCAAATTATATAACTATTGCCTCACTGACTCTTGTTTTCCAGTCTGTTGGATGTCCTCATCTGTTGTCCCTGTTTTTAAAAACTCTGGAGACCCTTCTGACCCATCTAACTACCATCCTATCAGTCTCCTACCACTCTTCAGCAAAGTCTGAGGTTTTAATCAATGCCAAGATGGTTAAGCATCTTACCTCTTATGATCTACTCTCTGGCAAACAATATGGTTTCCGCTTTGTACAGTCTACCACTGATGTGCTTGTGGCCATAACTGAATTTATATAGGAAGCTCTTGATAATAACAGCAAAGATATATATAGATATCACTCGGGCATTTGATAGGGTTTGGTATGCTGGCCTTCTGTGTCCAGCCATTCCTGTCAAACCATAAAATGAAGGTCATCCTAAACAGGCTCTCCTCCAGTTTCTTTCATATGAACACTGGTGTTCTTCAAGGCTCTATCCTGGGTCCTACACTGTTTCTGATCTTCAGCAACTATCTTCTTGATGTCATCACTTTTCAAGTAGGCATCTACACAGAAAATACTGCCATTTCTCTTGTCTCAATAGTAAATCCGGCATTGCTGACAAAGTTAACCTGGCCATTGGTCTCGAAATGACCTCCAATCTGTGCTCAACTGGGGCAGGAAATGGCTTGTAAATTTTAATGTGTCCAAAATGAATCTACACTCATTTACTAACCATAGAGAAGGCTGATGCTCAATTTCATGAGAGCATCTCTCTGCGCCTTCTTGCTCTCAAATTTTCCACTAACCTGAGGTGCAACAACTACATTGAATCAATAGCTACATCTACCACAAGGAAAGTTGGTTCTCTGTGTCATGCCAGAAGGTTTTTCTCGTCTGAGTCCATCCTCCAAATCTACCATTTGTCCTTGCATTGAATACTGTTGCCATATATGGTCTGGTGTGCCCACTGTTCATATATGCAATGTGATAGGCCCTGACCTGACATTTTGACCCCAGTCACTTTCTCACAGACATGATGTGACATCTCTCTCTTTTCTACAAATATTTTCATGTCATCTGCTCTGACAAGCTATTTTCACTGGTGCCTCAACTGCATGAATTTAAGTATGCTACTAGGTTGGCATCTTGGTCCCACTCTTTTACTGTCAAAACAGTTAAATGTAACCACCTCTTCTACTCCAACAGCTTTTTCTCTCACACTTCCTAACAGTAAAACTCCCTTCCTCTTACTTGCTTCCCTGATAACTATAATCTTAAAAAATTTAAATGTAATGTCAATCGATATCTGATGCCTTAATCTTGATCCCCATCCTTCTCTTTATCCTTTCCTCAAAGACCCCTCTTTTCTCTTACTTTCACTCTCCATAGCCCCTTGCATGCTAATGGTGCTACTGCCTTGGTTGGAATGAAATGGTTTTAAAAAAAAAAATAATAGGGGGCGATAATTTCTCCATCTCTCTTGGTATCTTATCTAAGCCTGCCACCTCAGCTGTTTCTTTGACAACTCCAACTTTCAAACTATGTGGACAGTAAAGTGGTCTCAACTTTTAGTTATTAATTGTAATTATCTTTTTAATTTTCAATAATAGTACCAATGAACCTCACAGATCCATTCACTATCTGAATTCTTTCAACACAGGATAAAATCCTATTTCTTGACTTGTTTACATGTCCAAAATCACCGAATCCATTTCCGTTTACTGACAGGCAGGCATAAGCCAGTCTCTTGATTCTGCTTTTGTCCTCAAAATTATCAAATATTATACTCAATACTCAATTGACCCCTTCTCCCAGGTAATCATGAAACATGGTCTTGTCACTTGGACTTTTAGGAAAATGGCCATAAATCCATATGTCATCTCATGCTTTTAAATCTCTATGTCTGTTCCAAGTCATATTCTAAATTAACCCTTTCTTTTGCTTTTTTACCAGTATCACAAATCAATTTTTTGAAGTATTTTTGTTTTTAACATTACAGTAGTTTGCATATCAAATTAAAAAAACAATCTTCAAAATATACAGTAAGTTATATAAACCATTTACAGATATTCCACATAATTTTTTGTTTGCCTGAGTTAGGTAGACAATGTCATTGCAAAATTAGGAACTCTTAAATCTGATCACTGAAACCTTTCGCACATAAACATGTTACTGTTTCTACAAACAAGAATCACTTATCCGTTCTAAAAGTTAATTATTTCTTTATTTTTCTTATAATTCACCCCCTTTAGTCCTGGGGGCATTTCAGTCATTTTTGTCTAAAACTTCCTTGGATCCAAATCTTAAAAAAAAAAACAAGGTAAGATTGTCTATTGGAGTGAGGTACCTCGGTAGAAACCCCAGGACAGGAGTCCAGAGAAAGGTGTAACATTATAGTTTTCTTTCATAAGGGGAATCAAGGAATAAAAGTGTCTGTATTGGAATTGGTTAGGCTTATACTAATTAGCATAACCATACCACTATATATAGGCAGATACACTAGATAGACATCAGCTGTCACTTGACAACTACCACTACTACAATTGTGCGTGTACAAAGTTCACAACAAAATGGCATTGCCGAACAAAACCATGTTGGATTTGGAAAACCCTGAAGACGTTATTATCTGGTTAAAATGCTTTGAGGCAATGGCCAGAATGAAGAAATTAGTGGATGACCAGAAGCAGAAACAAATCACGGATTTATTTATGGCCACCGCAGGATGTAAAGCCATTAAACAAGTGTCCTTAATGACTTACCCGGAGGAAATTGAAACTTTAAAGACATTAAGGACATAATTTTAAAGATTATCCAACCAAGAAAAAGATTGGTCATTGCCGAAAGGACCAAATTTCTAGTGTTAAAACAAGAGTCTGGGGAACCTATTAGGAAATATCTCGGTAGACTAAGAGATACTAGTAGGTATTGTGACTTTAATGAACTCGGACGAAATGGAATGACAACAGGGGAGAAATTGATTCAGCTTCGACTGGTGGAAGGATTATACGATACTATGCAAAGACTTAAAGCTTTGAAGAGGTTGCAATCCAATAATATGAATTTGGAAGTGTGTATTGCATTTATACAGCAGGACAATTTGATTGAAAAATATAATATAAAAAAAAAAAAAAGAAGAAATGATGTAAATATGTGCCATTTTTAAAAAAAAAAAAAAATGCAAGTATTGCAGTTATGAACATGAGCCAAAAAGAGAAAAATGTCCCACATGGGAAAAGATGTGATAATTGTAAGAAAAAGAATTACATTAAAGCAATGTGTAAATGGCAAAGCAACAATGCAAAAAATGTGGAAATAGTACAGGACGGAAGAAATAATGAAACGAATGTTGTTTTTTTTTTTTTTTTTTTGATAGAAAAGAAAAACAAAAGGAATATGTTCAAGATTATAAAGTTGAATGGTTTAAATTTAAAGACAACAAATTCAAAGAAATTACAATAATAAACTTGCCCATAGGCATATTGACATAGCCTCGCTTATCATTTGGAGTTAAGACAGAAAGTTAGATTTTTCAGAGAGCCATGGAAAATCTGCTAGAAGGAAAAGTAAAAAATATAATATACCAGGATGATACTGGGCTGGGTGCCTGTACTGAAGAAGAATTAAAATAAAAAACTAAAACGGTAATGAATATACTCAGAGGTGCTGGAATGATTTTACACAAGGAGAAATGTATATTCAAATGCAAAAAATTAACCTTTTTGGGATATCAAATCTCAGAGATGGGTACTTCACCAGACTCAAGGTTGATACAGAAAATATTGAATGTTTCACCTCCAAATAATAAGAAAGAGTTGTAATCATTTCTTAGATTAGCTAATTTTTATAGCAAGTTCTTATCAAAATAAGGAGTTTCAGTGGACTAATATTTACCAAAAAAGCCTTTGTTAAATTGAAGTTAGTATTATCCAAGAAACTGGTTGTCAAGATTTTTGACCCTAAAAAAGAAGTTAACGACAGATGTGAGTGAACAGTCTGTATCAGCAATTTTATCAAAGGAAGGACACCCAGTGATGTATCTTTCCAGGAAATTAATGCCAGCTGAGAAGAACTATTCAAACACTGCATGGAAATGTTGGCTATAGTATGCAGCATGACTAGAGCAAGAGAATTTTTTTTTTTTAGGAAAAAAGTTTTTGCTCAGATCGGATCATAAACCCCTGGAATTCATATTCCATCCCAGAAAAGAATTGCTGAAGGTCACATCATCAAGGATACTACGATGGGAAATGAAGTTGATGGCCTTTAACTATGAAATAGAATATGTGAAAGGAAACACAATCCTACACATAGATGCACTATCAAAACCACAGTTTGAGAAGAAACAACAAAAGAAAAATGAGAAATTGGAAGATGGAATTTTACATTGGGTGGCGACTGATGTATTACTTATTAATAGACTTGTGATGGAGACTCGACAAGATCCAGTATTCAATAGGATCGTTGGGAGAATAAGGAACAACAAATGGAGTAATTGTTCTAAAGCGGAAAGTCCATACAAGCGGATCAGACATATTTTGACAATAGAAAATGCTGTAGTTTGCAATGGAGATCTGGTGGTACCACCAGAAAATTGTAGAAGGCAGATAATTAAAAGTGTGCATGATGATGTGCATTGCAGAATAGCCGCTACACAAAAACATCTAAAATTGGAAGCCTGGTGGCTGGGTCACACTTGTGACATGGAGATGCATGTAAATAAATGCCCTAATGTGGGAAGCTATAAAATTTTCAACAGAACAAGATACATTTGTGTCCAAAGGAAACTGAACCTTAGTCCAGGGTTCACATGGACCATGCACATGTGAATGGTATAGGGTTGCGTCTGATATTGGTGGATTCGTTTCCAACATGGCCCGAAGTCTTTAGAGTTCAGGATAGAAAATCAGAAACTGTACAACAAATTTTATGTATAGTCTTTGCCAGGAATGGCATACCAAGAAAATTGGTAACTGATAAAGCCCCAGAGTTTTGTGACGAAAACTTGTGTTTATGGTTAAAAAACATTGGATGCATACTATATAAAACCCCCTCCTTATCATCCGCAATCAAATGGAATAACGGAGCAAATGGTACAAACCATAAAAATGGATTTAAAAACCTTCTCCCCACAGCATGAAAGAAGTGAAAATTTTCTACTGAGACTATTATTAAGTTACCAGACTATACCTCATGTGGGAAAATTACAAAGCCCATTTGCGTTAATGGGAAGATAAATTAGAGCATCGTTAACTATGTTATACTCGATGAATAAGAAGATATGGTACAAGAGAAACGAGGAAGAGGGATCAGAAAAAGTAAGGTTTGTAATGCAGAAGGGACAGAATACGGCGTTGGTTTCCAAGAATGGTAGAGGTCTTTTAGCACATGCTGACCAACCAAGATTGTATCCAAACCGTGAAGACTCGGAGACTGAAGATATTGAGGAGTCTAATGAGGATAGAGAAGAACAAGATAATTGTTCAGAAGAAACAATGAGTGCTCAAGAGTATTCTGAGGAATCAGAAAACAAAACCGTAAATATTGAAGAAGAAAGAATAGGTTGAGATCTTCTATAATGAGAAATCCTCTTGAAACCAGTGAAAGGGGGAAGGTATGTAGGAGAAGTAAGAGATCAATTCAAGGAGTTAAACCTAAAAGGTTCCAGGAGGTGTAGTGGGATTGGTTAGGCTTATACTAATTAGCATAACCATACCACTATATATAGGCAGATACACTAGATAGACATCAGCTGTCATTTGACGACTACTACTACTATAATTGTAAGTGTACGAACTTCATGACACTGTCATATGTTAAAAATAACTACTTTTTAAATTGTTTCTTACTTTCTATCAATAAATACATTATTTTTATTACATATTCCTATGTAAGTTACTATTGCTACAAGGACTCATTTTGGAAGATTTTACCAGTATTTGTAAACGTTTTGAGATCAGAGCAAATTTTGTTTATTCAATTCAAACCACAGAACTAACCCTGGAAATCAAGTAGCCACACCACTGGATCATTTCTCTGTTTCCTTTCAAAGAAAGACTTTCTTCAATCAATATAAGTACCCAAATTGCTTATCTTGGCCAATTTATTCTTTCAACTGTTTTTAATTATTTTTCCATGCATTATTTATTGACCCCCAACCCCCACCTGCCATCATCATATTTTTGTATCTCTGCCTCTTCTTTGTGTGTTTTGTATGTTTTTTATTTTTTGTTTTGCTTTTTAACCTCTGGATTTTTGTTTAATATTGGAAAAGTTTCCTAGAAATTTACAAATTTTAATAACTTTCTTTATTGCAACATTAATCTCTTTGATGCCAACCCCCTAGACTTAAGCATAAAACTTCTATCCACAGTACTGAAGAAACGGGGGTCTTTTATTAACTCTATTTTCTTTTACCTCTTTTAACAGATACCCAGCAACATTGCTATGATCTAAATAAAGGTAAGAGCAGAATTTAAAACCAATATTTCAGCTACTGTAATATAATTACTTGAAACAATAATGAGATGTATCTTTTTTTTTTTTTTTTTTTTTCTTAAGCTATGGTAATGGTAATATTAGCTGTTTCCTTTTTAAGGAAACATTTGACATTCACTAACCGAGCAACCAGTGCCACTGTTGGTTGAAATTTATAAAATCTTTCTCTCGAAAAAAATTTTCAGGAAAATAGGTTTCTCAAATCTAGTTACTATTCCAGTATTGTTGGGGGCTTCTTTAATAACTTTTATTTGAATGTCAGCATCTTGATTATATCATTATTTTCTCTTTGAGTCACATTTGATATCCAATTTAGTACTGAAGTGATGTGTGGTAATGCAATTCTACATGCCACTGTACCAGCTGTGATGACATCCAAGGCCAACTGTATGTGAATACATCAGCATTCACTATGATCCACAGATTCATCTCGATATTAGGGCTGTGAAAGCTGTCAAAAAGACAATATTGACATATGCTTTTCAAATACACTTGTTGGGAAGTAGCAAAAGAAATATGATTTCTCACGTAATTGTTAATGTCTCTTGGAGAGCCGAGTTCGAGTTCCAGCTGAGTTTATTGCATTCACTAACATGCTAATACCCTTTGGAAAGGTATGAATCCATTTTTTCTCAACCCCCCACCCCACCCTCACAAAATAAAAATATTAATGGCAGGACAGAATGGGCCTTGGGTGGCAACCAGTTTAGGAGAAGGAAACTCTGAATTCAAACCACCTGCTGCTTTGTAAGTTCTGCCTCTTTAGGCAAAGTTAACTTCAAAAACTGAGGAGGGACGGGATAACCTTTACATTCCCAATGCAAAAAAGAACCGGCATGCCATTGCACTATTCTGCTTTGAATGTCACCATGAACCACAATTGTAAGATGGAGGGATGGGTGACCACAGTAGTGGCACAAAAATGAACTGAATAAAATGAAAGAATGAATCTTGATATGGTGCAGATGAAATAAATGGCAATTTAACAAATCTGTGTATGTAAAAAAAAAATTTTTAGAATACTTAAAAGTACATATAAATAGTAAACCATAGTTATTAAGTATGTGCAAATGTTCGTGGAATTCATTCATTGTAGCAAATGATTGACTATGTAACTGAAATGCAGTTTTCTGTTGAAAACTCTTGCATGCAGCTAATATATACATTTTAATGAACTTACCAGACATTATGATGTACCAATTAAACAAGAAAATAATTTTAAAATGGTGAAAACTGTAAATAGCAATCTGAAAATTTGCTCTCACATTCCATCTAAAAACTGTTGAGTCAATTTTGCTGAAAAACAAGTTTACAAATAGATGATATTGGTTTAATTTTCATTGTATTATTCTCTTTCAAAACAATTTTTCAGTGTCCGAATGGAAGCAACTGATACACTTCATACCAGAAGGAAGGCAATATGAATTCTGTGCAAACCTAAATATTGCAAAAAAAAAATTTAAAATGTTCCAGGATAATCTTGATAGTTTTTTATGCAAGAGTTTTACTGAAAATTCATTCAGTACTTCAGATTTGGAAAATTCTTTCAAGCAGCTAGGAATAGAAATGTCATTGGTTCATCAGAATGAGGAAGGATCTTCATTTCCAGGTAAATAAACATGACATTAATTCTGCATTATAATTGAAAAGTTTTATGTAATATTTAGCAGATTTCTGTAAAGAAAAGTGCATGCCAGTTAGGGCTTTTGATGTAAGGAAAAAATATATATTTACAAGACTTGGGTAGTATGCAGGGATATGAAGAAAGGAATTATGGGTAACAGCAAAGATAAAAGGGAAGAAAAATATGGTATTTTTTTTGTTGTGATTTTACAATTACTCCAACTTTGTGATTGCAATTTTAAAAACCATGCCCAATCTTTATCATTTATATTTGTTAGCATACATCTTCTTATTGCTCTGTTTTGTATGATTACTTATTACATATGTATGTACTTTTTATTATCTTCTTCACTTCTGAACTTCTCTCTCATTGAAAATATCAGAGATTGCCTCCAACAAAACTTTAGTAGTTAAGATTTGCAGCTGTTCTTCCTTTCATTGTCATTGACTCTTCATAACACTTCAAATTCAGTTGAAAATGTTAAATTGCTTCTTGTGTTTTTAGGAACCAAGCAATAAATATAACCAAAATTGTAAAGTGCAACTCTAAACAATAAAATTAATCAAAATTGTAAAGAGCACATCTTACCACCACTCAGTAAAGAACCAAGCAATAAAAATAAATAAAATTATAAAGATCACCTAAAACTATTCTGTTAGAGAGCAAACAATAACAAAAGTTATTGTTTGCTCCCTAACAGAATAACTTTAGGTGATCTTATATATATATATATATATATATATATATATATATTTTTTTTTTTTTTGCTATTAGGGCACGCTATGCAGTTTTTACTGCATGGTGTACTAACAGAAGCACTCACTGAACTCTTTCATACAACATCATTTGTTGTCAAGTATTTTATAATTTTACTCTTTATTCATTATTGCATTTGGAATTTTTTTTTCTAATCAGCGTTAAACCATTCTATACTGTTCTCTATGTAGTTATTTTTTTTTCTAATCAGCGTTAAACCATTCTATACTGTTCTCTATGTAGTTATTTCATGACCTTTAAACATTGAAACCTTATTTGAAATATTAATCTTTACAGAGACAAAATTAACAAATTACGTGATGACTTCTAAGCCACGAGGTAAGTATCTCTTGCATAATTTTTGTATTTATTTCAAACCAATTTTAAAAGTATTGAATTGATTAGGTTGGAGAATCAATTACCAAACATCAACCATGTTCTATATTAGTGAAACCTTAATGCTACAGAATACAGAGGAGACATACTAAACTGATATTATATCTCTGATAAATAGTTTTTTCATTTGGTTAAAGTGTTTTAAAACTAGACCGATAGTCTAGCAATAACTGATGTATTTAAGCAAATGTGAACCTGGCACTTTAAACGAATAAGTTTTAAATGACATATGATGTCTTTTAAAATATACACAAGTAGGACGAAATTGTCAAAATATATACAGTCAAAAACAAAATAATATACATACTATAGTTAAATGAGAAATTATGAAAAGAGTACCCTATGTAATATTGCCAATATGAACTGTAAACTGTGTTTAGAAGAAAAATTAGCAATATTAAGTTTTAATAACGAAATCAAATTATTAAATAAGATGAATGGAATAATGGGTTGATGCTGGCATACTAACAAATATTTACTTTGTTACATAAATGATAATATAAGATAATAAATCAATTAAAATAATTAAAAATATTTAAATTTGACCAAGAGAATGCCTCCTAGGGTACTTAGATAAGTATATTTCGTTTTGATGAGAGGTAGTCCTGGGAGGCATACCCCGCCCCATTGAAATTTTTTTTCCCCCTTTGTTTTAAATTAAATTTAAATTTGAACAAGGGAATGACTCCTATCCAAAATATAGGAGGAGAAAACCAGAAGATGGAGGTCACATTAGCAAGATCAAAATGAGACAATGTGGACATCAAATTGAGCAAGAAATCACTAATCAGTGGGTAGCACTCCACAATCAAATATATATATCAAATGGGTCAGACCAAGCTATTTTTGCACAAACCCCCACTGAGAAATTTTTTCCCTTTGATTTAAATCAAATTTAAATTTGAACAAAGGAATGACTCCAATCCAAAATATAGAAAGCTAGAAGATGGAAATCACATTGGCAAGATTATTGAGTAATGATATATACATACATTAATGACTAAAAATATAGCCAAAAGCACTTGGAAAAACAGTCAGACAATTTTTATACTATTATGTCCTGAAAAGAAAAAAAATATACACACAAGAGAAATTATATGAAAATTCAACCACCACACCTTGTCAGTAGTCATTTTCAATGAAACTTGCATACATATATATATATATATATATATATATATATATATATATATATATATATATATATATATATATATAGCCTCCCCAATACCTGCCCAAAGAAGAAACACACAGAAAATGCATTCAAAAAAATCTTCAATATCCCTATCACTTCATCAACAATGCAAAGAGAAAGGCACAAATATATATATATATATATATATATATAATATACAACCACAACAAAATAACACTATCCACAATAATAAATTTAAACAAAAATAGATACATAATACTACCTACCAATTCTATAATATCCACTATCCAAAATACCTTATAGCATGTAAACAATTTGCAAATAGTCACAACCACTTCTATAACCATCATGGATATAATCAGATTTAAAAACACTAATATCAATAATAGTTTTGAAGCTGGCATATATAAAATAAATTGCCTAGACTGTTCTTCACAATACATTGGGGAAACATGAAGAAAAAATGTGTCTATCAACACAAAAGAGGCCTTATAAATAACAATTTAGCAAATACACTAGTCATATACGTTAATAAATTAGACCATAATTTGGATCCAAAAAAAATCCACACTCATCAAAATAGAAAGTAATTTACTTGGAAGGAAAATCCTCAAAAGTACCACCATCAAATATTATCAAAATATCAATCTTTGCCCTGTTTTTTTTCCCAAGCCCTGTTTTTTTATGTTACACAACAAATGTTTTGAAAAATCAAAGGAAAACAGCAGATTCCATCATTTCAAGTTTTAGAGATGTTTAATACAAAAAATTTTTATTTTTCAAGTATACTAAATGACATAATCCAAGGTCTAAATGTCAGTTAACCTGTTGAATGTTTATGAGCATCTTTAAATTTAAAAATATTTAATTTCAAAGATGCGTTAGGATGTAACCTAGGTTCTAACACCAAAACTTTTCTGTTAACCTGATGAATATTTATAAGCATTCTTAAATTTAAAATTTTTGAGTAGTGGACAAGTATATACTTGTTGCAAAATAAAATCATCACATTTGCCTTGATGAAGTCCAAGTGACAAAACTTGTCAGCTAAAAGCTAAGTATAGTTTTCCTCTTCTCTTTTCATTCATACACACACACACACACAAGAAATATAATTTTAAGGTGTACTATATTTATGGGATAAAGTGCTCAATATCAGAGCGGATATAAATATAAAAGTGAACATTGAAGTCAAACCTCAGAGGTGACAGGCTGTTTCATGCTAGACACAATCGTCAGGCTACCTGAATATTGACTTCAATGTTCACTTTATATATATATATATATATATATATATATATATATATATATATATATAAAAAAATTTCTCAAAGTTCACCTGTAGAAAAAGACAATGTATATAAAGGTAAAAGACAATAGGAAAACTGTATTATTAGCTGACACATTTCATCCAATGTAGACTTTTTCAAGGCTAAAATGAAATGAATTTATTGAAAACAAAGTAACTATTAACAAACATTTAGAAAATGCTATTGTATTCATATTGTCAGCTGAAAATTACGTCAAGTACTATCACACGTAGAAATATTTTTTTGATTCAACCGTTCAAGATATCAAAAGAAAATGGGTGAATCCATCAGCACAAAAACAATACATGTGATAGTACTTGATATAATTTTTCAGTTTTCGATCTCTCAGCTTGAAGCAATCGGATGTCTAGCCACACTGATGAGCTGTGAAACAGCAAAACAGACTGACAGACAGTCTGTGGATGACATACACACATATTGTTACAAACCCTCATCTAAATTTATTATAGAATCGATGTTAAGGCTTATATTTCAGAAGCATTCTAAATAAAATGCCAATACTCAGAAAGTGTGAAAAAACATATAATAGAAATTGACGGGTAACAGTTCTCATTCACACTTGCATGTCACTGAGCAAAAATTGTACAATTTCTCTTTCTTGATCCTGTGACAAGATGATGTGACCAGATATAGTCCTGACAGTGAAGCAACCTTGAACTCTCTGAAATATGGCAGAAGAAGGAAAAGGGTCAATGACCTCTTTTCACCCATACATATGTGGAGATCACGGGTCATGTGCTGAAATCAAGGCACAAAAAAAAAAAAAGGACCATCAAAAAGTTAGTCCTGTTTCAGAATCCAGACTGAATGGATGGTCAGCTATAAAGGCTATAATCAGCTATAAATGTTACCTTCAGCTATAAATTCAGACATGAGGAAAATATAGAAATCTAATAAGATTTCTAACCCCCAAAACAGCCCTATTCAGAATATAAGCTGAATGGACAGCTAGCTATAATTGCTACAATCTGATAAAAGTTTGGATTTGAATAAAACATAGAAATCTAATAAGATTTCTAAGTCAAAAAGGATTCAGCAAATATTTAATTCAAGAAATGAAACTTCATTGGGCTAAAAAAGTGAATACATCAAAACATACATCAACCCCTAGACAAGACAAAAATAGAAAGAGAGAAAAGAAACCAAAAGAAATTCAGTTTCACAAACCAACCTGCTGTCAACAAAGAAAAGAAAAAAAAGAAATTTAAAAAGAAAAGGGAAGAAATACATACGAGACATTAAGAGAAAAGATCAAAAGGAAAAAAAGAACTTTTATAACAACCAGATAAGTCCATTTTTTCATTAACATGTTTCCCTTGTTGCTCATTTTATCTTTTCATGTTTTGTGATTATGTGCAGGTTTGGCAGAAGATTGTTTGTTACCTACTGTTTACCTTTCTGAGAGGATAAGTTCCCCCATCACCATCACCACTATTCTTTTCCACAACATTTATTTTTGTCTTATTGTTTTTGTTTTATTCTGTCTTTTACCTTCTCCCCATTTGTATATTTTTAATAATAAACGATTTGTTTGTTATCTCTATACCTTGCCTTTTGTCATCCACCATGTTTGTTCCTCAATTAATTCCATTCAATGTTTGTGTCTGATCAACTGGGAAAGAGACCATTGGGAAAAGAAATTTATAGTACCTCCTACTGCTGCCTTAATGGTAGGGGAGGGTGGTACGAAACATATATATTAAGTAATTTATACAAAGAATTAATTAACAATGTTAATGAGATTAATGGCGAAATCACTTCACTAACAAGACGTAATGAGACATTAACTTACTATCAATTCCTTGAATAATACAATCCTTGTATTTGAGTTGTTGTCAGATGGAAATGATGAGCCAAGTACTTTCAACAATTCCAAATTGTCATCTTCATGGCACAATTTTTCCATTTACAGGCAAAAACACCAAGATGAAATATGTGTAGTGTAGACTGAAAGATGTTTTTTAAATATGCTATTTATTGACAGTTATATTATTTTTGAGTGTACGAAAGACACACACACACACATATATATATATATATATATATATATATATATATATATATATATATATATATATATATATATATATATATACAAACATATATGAAATATTTTTCAAAGATAAGTCCTGATTGCAGTAAAGCATTTTTTAACACAGACATCTGTTGACAATGATATCAATAGACTTATGTTTGAAAATGTTTTCTACCTGTAGTGGGATTGGTTGACTAATACTGATTAGTATAACCATACCACCATATAAGCAGAACTTGAGATAGACTTGGGGACAAGTGATGACGACTACTACTGTTGCGTGTATTTCAACTTCATAACAAATGACATTGCCAAACAAAACTGTTGGATTTGGAAAACCCTGAAGACGTTATTATCTGGTTAAAGTGCTTTGAGGCAATGGCCAGAATGAAGAAATTAGTGGATGACCAGAAGCAGAAACAAATCACGGATTTATTTATGGCCACCGCGAGATGTAAAGCCATTAAACAAGTGTCCTTAATGACTTACCCGGAGGAAATTGAAACTTTAAAGACATTAAGGACATAATTTTAAAGATTATCCAACCAAGAAAAAGATTGGTCATTGCCGAAAGGACCAAATTTCTAGTGTTAAAACAAGAGTCTGGGGAACCTATTAGGAAACATCTCGGTAGACTAAGAGATACTAGTAGGTATTGTGACTTTAATGAACTTGGACGAAATGGAATGACAACAGGGGAGAAATTGATTCAGCTTCGACTGGTGGAAGGATTATCGATACTATGCAAAGACTTAAAGCTTTGAAGAGGTTGCAATCCAATAATATGAATTTGGAAGTGTCTATTGCATTTATACAGCAGGACAATTTGATTGAAAAATATAATATAAAAAAAAAAAGAAGAAATGATGTAAATATGTGCCATTTTAAAAAAAAAAAAAAAAAATGCAAGTATTGCAGTTATGAACATGAGCCAAAAAGAGAAAAATGTCCCACATGGGAAAAGATGTGATAATTGTAAGAAAAAAAGAATTACATTAAAGCAATGTGTAAATGGCAAAGCAACAATGCAAAAAATGTGGAAATAGTACAGGACGGAAGAAATAATGAAACGAATGTTGTTTTTTTTTTTTTTTTGATAGAAAAGAAAAACAAAAGGAATATGTTCAAGATTATAAAGTTGAATGGTTTAAATTTAAAGACAACAAATTCAAAGAAATTACAATAATAAACTTGCCCATAGGCATATTGACATAGCCTCGCTTATCATTTGGAGTTAAGACAGAAAGTTAGATTTTTCAGAGAGCCATGGAAAATCTGCTAGAAGGAAAAGTAAAAAATATAATATACCAGGATGATACTGGGCTGGGTGCCTGTACTGAAGAAGAATTAAAATAAAAAACTAAAATGGTAATGAATATACTCAGAGGTGCTGGAATGATTTTACACAAGGAGAAATATATATTCAAATGCAAAAAATTAACCTTTTTGGGATATCAAATCTCAGAGATGGGTACTTCACCAGACTCAAGGTTGATACAGAAAATATTGAATGTTTCACCTCCAAATAATAAGAGTTAGAATCATTTCTTGGATTAGCTAATTTTTATAGCAAGTTCTTATCAAAATAAGGAGTTTCAGTGGACTAATATTTACCAAAAAGCCTTTGTTAAATTGAAGTTAGTATTATCCAAGAAACTGGTTGTCAAGATTTTTGACCCTAAAAAAGAAGTTAACAACAGATGTGAGTGAACAGTCTGTATCAGCAATTTTATCAAAGGAAGGACACCCAGTGATGTATCTTTCCAGGAAATTAATGCCAGCTGAGAAGAACTATTCAAACACTGCGAAGGAAATGTTGGCTATAGTATGCAGCATGACTAGAGCAAGAGAATTTTTTTTTTTTTTAGGAAAAAAGTTTTTGCTCAGATCGGATCATAAACCCCTGGAATTCATATTCCATCCCAGAAAAGAATTGCTGAAGGTCACATCATTAAGGATACTACGATGGGAAATGAAGTTGATGGCCTTTGACTATGAAATAGAATATGTGAAAGGAAACACAATCCCACATGTAGATGCAATATCACATCCACAGTTATGAGAAATTAGAAGATGGAATTTTACATTGGGTGGCGACTGATGTATTACTTATTAATAGACTTGTGATGGAGACTCTACAAGATCCAGTATTCAATAGGATCATAGAGAGAATAAGGAACAACAAATGGAGTAATTGTTCTAAAGCAGAAAGTCCATACAAGGAGATCAGACATAAACTGACAATTCTGCATGATGATGTGCATTGTGGAATAACTGCTAAAAGCGTGTAAAATTGGAAGTCTGGTTGCCTGGTCACACTCATGGTGTGCAGACATATGTGAATAAATGTCTTACATGTGTGGAGATAAAAATTTTCGACAGAACAAAACACAATCGTGGCCAAAGGAAACTGAACCTTGGTCCAGGGTTCTCATGGACCATGCACATGTGGATGGTATAGGGTTGTGTCTGATATTGGTGGATGCGTTTTCGGCATGGCCCAAAGTTTTTTGGGTTCAAGATAGAAAATCGGATACAGTACAAGAAATTTTACAAATAGTCTTTGACAGGAATGGTGTACCAAGGACATTGGTAATAGATAATGCTCCAGAGTTTTGCGATGAAAACTTGTGTTCATGGTTAAGAAACATTGGATACCGTATAAAGCCCCCTCCTAAATATCCACAATCAAATGTGATAGTGGAGTGAATGGTACGAACCATAAAAATGGGGTTAAAAACGTCCTCCCCACAGCATGAAAGAATCAAAAAATTTTTGTACCAAGACTCTTATTAAGTTATTGGACAATACTTCATGCCGGAAGATTACAAAGTCCATTTGCGTTAATGGAAAGACAAATTAGAGCACCATTAGCAATGTCATACTCAACAAATGAGAAGGTATGGTACAAGAGAAACGGGGAAGAGGGGCCAGAAAAAGTAAGATTTGTAATGCAGGAGGGACAGAATACAGCGTTAGTTTCCAAGAATGGTAGAGGTCTTTTGGCACATGCTGACCAACTAAGATTGTGCCAAAACTATGAAGACTCAGAAACTGAAGATATTGAGGAGTCTAATGAGGATAGAGAAGAACAAGATAATGGATCAGAAGAGACAATGAGTGATCAAGGGTTTTCTGAGGAATTAGAAAACGAAACAGTGAATATTAAAGAAGAAAGTAGGTTGAGATTTCCTATAATTAAAAAAAATCGGCAAAAACATTCCAAAAATTGGCACATTTACACACAAAAAAAAAAATTCAAAATTCTTTTTAAAATACCAGGGGTCATTGAATTGTATTAAGCTTTTTCATTTAAAATTGGTGAATATTATCACCTAGCCACTACAAATTCATGCAAAATTTTACAAGTTTATAAATTATTCTAATTAAAATTAGATTTTTTTTCTTTTCTTTTGCAGGCATCTGCTTGATAATCAACAATGTAACTTTCAAAAATTCTGAATATAAGGAGAGAAAAGGATCAGATGTAGATAAAGGTGAATTTCTTTCTTTCTTTTTTCACTATTTTTATTTTGCCTTGGGTATATAAGATAAAAATAATTCCGTAAAATATATGTCTAGTAGATACGCCTGACAATTTTGAAATATAAGAGCTTCACAGTTCAGCATTAGAACTGAACTGCCAGACTATCCACACATGATTTGAGTACAGTGGGTAGTAAATGCTAGTTTAAAACCAACAGAAATTGTATGCAGTGTTACTTGGAGTCTCCAAACATCCCTCTGCAGGTTTAAACATAGTGTTTTCTTTTTCCTAGTTGGATTGCCAAGCTAGATAACCTAGTCTACCCTACTATTTAATCAATACCTGGATTCATGCCTTTCCCAAGTGTATTTGTGCCAAAGTGAGTGGAATAACATTGACCAGAATTTGAACTTGGCATACCAACAATGATGACACTGTGTGTATATATTCATGCATATATATATATATATATATATATATATATATATATATATAAAACAGAAAATTCAATGAAGTGTAATAACATTTCATCTAAGAGATTCAAGCTGAAATTTTTAATGATATTCAAATTTTGTTGGGCTCTAAAAAAAATATATACACATATATATTAGTGCAAAATCCAGGTAGACAGTGACCGGCCACAACTGCTTGTCTCATGCGTTTGCATGCAATTGACAGGCAGATGGTGGGTGTAGTTTGTAGAATGGGTATCCTATATACTGTGGCAGACTTCACTACATTAATTTAACTTTAGATTAGGAAACAAAACTGACATGAAAATGGATAAGCAAAAGACATCATTACACATAAAATATGTATTTAACAAGATGTACAACAATGCGAAAGAAGGCACACATTTAAGTAAGAAAAGGTTGAATAAAACAAGAGTTGTCTCTCTTTAACTATTGCTTTTGTATTTCAAAGTTCACTGAAAGAAAGTTTGAGATTTTCTTGTAATGATTGTTCTCAGCAGATTTGCTGTGTAAGAAAAAGTTATGTGAGTGTATAAGTAATGTTCAGCATGTGAGTGGTGGTGTGAGAAGGTTGGCGCATGGTTTCAACTGTCCTGGATTTGTTTGGCAGCTGAATTCTCACTAACTAGCTAAGAATATTTCTTGCTTATTTAGGTAACCATTAGCTACAAACTGCTGTGCAGGAAGAGTTATTCTTCACGTGCAGACAATCTGATTGGTTAGCATTGACCAATCAGTGAGCAAGTTTTGGGGAGACTCAAGAAAGCTTCTGGGATCCATTTCTCCCAAAAGTGCACAAAATTGACTACACGAAAAGAGAGCGATTACAAAATTGTCACATTGCTGCGATTTGTAAGTTGTCTATAATGACGTAGTGGTGATCTATTAACCAATGAATGTTTGTCATTTTATGTGATGTGTGTTTGTGTATGTACATATGTGTGTGCGATATAGATTGGCACAATAACCCCGATATTAAAGAAATTATAACAAAATTCTTTAATATGTCATGTAAGAGTGATACTTAGAAGGCCAATGCACCCTTCTACCTGTTTTGGTAAACATCGGTTCTGATTATGAAGTGGGCTACTGACTTTGGTTTAATGATAATAATGCTGGTTGCTGCAGAATGTCGAATTGCTGTCAATCCAGATGGAGTTGTTTGATAATAATGCTGTTGTCGAATTGCTGTCAATCCAGATGGTGGTAGATTGAAGAGATATAGCTACTGGCCAACAGGTGAATCTGTCATTTATTGTTAAGATGTATTGATAGCTGTGAATTTCGGATAATGGACCCAAGTCCGCATGAAGATGCTGAAAGCAGCCATCAGGTTCTGCAAAGCATCCCGGAGATGATTTAAGTCTGAGTCCAGTGTATAATGTCTGAACTCGTTCTAGGCCATACAAAACGTTCACCAATTAACTTTGTTGTAATCCGTAGTCCAGGATGCGATAGTGAATGAAAGTGGTCGAATATCTGCCTTCGCATGGAAGAAGGAACCAAAGGTCGGGGGTGACCTATACTGGTGTCACATAATAAATGCCTACTGCTGAAGGGCATGGGACATGGCCCAATCTGTAAAGATGTATTTGCTTTTAGGTCTGATAGAGTGTCGTCCCTTTGTTGTTCATCGGCTAATGTCTCGAAATTCAATGGTTGTTTGGTATATGCATTGATTATAGTAGCATGCAACAGCGTGTCTGCAACAGTATTATGATTCCCCTGTACATATTGAATATCTGTTGTGAATTGGGAAATATAGTCCAGCTGTCAGTAATCACGAGGATTATATTTGTCACTCTTAGCATGTAAAGCATAAATAAAAGGCTTGTGATCCGTAAAAACGGTAAAATTGCATCCTTCTAAAAGATAGCAAAAGTGTTTGATAGCTGTATAAATAGCTAACAGCTCATGCGAAAAAGTGCTGTATTTTTATTGGGGGGGGGGACTAAGTTTTACAGAGAAAAATGAAAGTGGCTTAGTTACCTCACCTGTATGCTGGTGTAATACAGCTCCAATTGCTTCTGAAGAAATGTCAGTCATAAGAGATAGGTGTGTTTTATCATCTTCTTGAAGATAAGTAAGTTTGGTGAAATTTGCTAGGCCGTCCTTAGCTTGATTGAACGTAGTAAGAGCTTCACCGTTGAGTGTAATTTTAGCGTTGTGTTTCCCCTGGTTACAGAGTTGATTTGTCAGGGGTGCCAGTATGTGTGAACATTTAGGGATAAACTGACAATAGTAATTAATTTATCCTAAGAATCTGTAAAGCTGTCGAAGTGTTGTCGGCAGAGGAAAATCCTGCACTGCTTTTACTTCATCAGCGATGGGTATAATGCCAGTACTATCTATCTCGTGCCCAAGAAAGACTAGCCTGAGTACTGCGAATACACATTTATCAGGGTTAATTTTAAGACCAAAGTGGTTGAGTCGCTCGAAAACTTGAGTTACATGACCTATGTGTTCATTCATGTCTATGCTAGCTATAAGAAGGTCGTCGATGTAGGTGAATGAATGTGGTAATCCATGAAGGGCTTCATCAATTAGCTGCTGGAAAAATTGTGCAGCGTTCCGTAGTCCGGAAAGCATCTGCAAAAACTTGTACAAACCAAAAGATGTAATTATTGCAGTTTTATGAATGTCTTCTGGAGCCACCAGAATTTGGTAAAATGCTTTCCGTAGGTCAACTTTCGTAAATATCTGAGCACCTTGAAGCGTTACTGCAAAGTCTGCTAGGTTTGGCACAGAGTATTTATCCGGCACAGTCTATGCATTAAGATGTCAAAAATCTCCACAGGGTCTCCACAACCCCAATTGTGTCTTTTCCCGCTTGTTTTTTAGTAGATGTTGGTTGACCGTTGAAATGGCAAGGCTTTGCACAATGTCTCACTGTAGTCATTTTCAAGGGGGTTTGTTATTGAACGTTGTTAATTTCTCTTCATGTTTAACTGTGCAGGATATATTTTTTGTGTTGTTTTGAATACTAGTAGAAATATTTATTCCAAGTTTCATGTGTTGTGTACAGATGAAATTCAAGTGGACATCTTTCTATTGTTTTTAAAAAACATTCAACACCTCATTACTACTCCAGAATCAAAATAACCCCATTAAATTTAAAGTACCGATGACCAATATGGTGTATCAATTTCACTGCCCAGTATAAGACTGTGTTTCTTGTCATAAATCAATTACCTATATCAGACCACCTCCTTCAGTAGATGCCTCACATGTCACTTATCAGATCAAAGCACAATAAAAAAAAAAAAAAAAAAAAAAATATAGCCACCCACAATTTCAGTCAGTTATATGCCATGCATGATACACACTTAGGCGATCATGTATCTTTCAATAAATGACTGATGAGGCAGATTTTTTCCCATAGTAGGTTGCCATTTCTTTCTGTGGTAGACCAGTTGCTATCCAAGGCTATATAACCCAGTCTGTCCTGCTATTTACCCATAGCTAGGGGGAGAAGCAGAGGATTCAAATCTTTCCCGAAGGTATTAGCACGTAAGTGAATGTAATAGTTTCGACTAGAATTCAAACTCGGCTCTCCGATTCCTCATTCAGAGCCACTATCTATTACTCCACTGTGCCTCCCACAATTTACAAGATCCATTATGGAAAATCCTAGCTGAAAAAACACAAAAACTCTATATAAATCAAATTACCAAAGACATCTTGCTGTGACACAAGGCCTGTATATAAAACATCTCACTCCACTATCAACCTCACCTTATTCAGTCTTGGTAATGGGGTGTTAAAAATTTGAAACCCTGCTGCTGCTGTTAAATCTCATGCCATGAAAGCGTTGATACCATGAGAGCTAACTGGTCCCTCATAGTCTTGGCAGAGAATTGAAACATTCTCCAGTAAAACCCGATGATCAAGAAATTTTTTGTTCCAACTAATTTCAGTTCAATTTTATACTTCAACATATAAAATAGATCATAAGAAAAAAAAGCTCTGAAGGCCCAAAAGAATGACTGTGTTTAATTGTTCAAACAAGATTAAGTGTTATTTCTAGGGACCAACAAAATTTTAATGTTATTAAAAATTTCAGCTTGAATTATGTTAAATGTTATTACTCTTCATTGATGTTTTAGTTATATCAATTACCCATTTCTGGGATCTTATTTGGGAATATCCTACAGAATGGTCCATTTTCCTACCCTCAGAAAAAATCTGAGCAAATATGTTCATTACATTAACTTCTGTATCTTTTCTCCAAAAAAGGCAAATATTGTTATTCTCAAAAGAAATTTTAATGCAATATTCACTTGCAAAAAAAAAAAAGAAAATGAAGTAAAATTATTGCTACAGTTCAAAATGTTTCAGCTTTAAATGACCCACAAAGAGTTGATAAACCATAATAAAACAAATCAACCCATCCCTGGAAGTTGTGACTTCAGTTACACAGAAATATCCAAATTCACAAAATTGTTTGAAATCAATGATTTGAAAAACATTTATTCGAATTGTAAATTGTTTGAATGAAAATTAATCGAAAGGGCATTTATACTAAATGATAATTATTTGAAATACCTATGTTTGAAATACATATGTGGTCTTGCTTTGAGAGAGTCAATGCTGATATACCTAGAACTAATAACACCATTGCAGGATGACATAGGGCTTTTTTGCTTCAAGTGTCATCCTATCATCCCACAATGCAAATTCTTAGACACTCTTAAAAGAGAAGAGGACTTGCAAGAAATTCATATTGCAAAAGTAAGAGCAGGTTGCCAAAATGTCAAGTGCACTAAGAAATACTGCAACATAAATGGAAAATTTTTAAAAATTATTTGCATCCTTTAACGAGTACTCATCAGTAGTTGACTATTTGCGTGGAGTATCATAACTTAAGGTTATAAGAATTCCTAAATCTGACGTGACACTTGATTAAGCCGGTATGGTTTGGCATGCAGAGTTAGTGATGTTAGTTTAGCTGACTTAGTAAGTTTGGCTCAAAGCTGATGTCTGAGGTTTCCATTGGCAGATAGTCACATGCATTGTCTCGAGCTTGGCGGCTGGAACACAATTTCTCAAATTTGCTTGAGACATTTGTATTTATTGATATCTGTCAAAAACTGGTGTGGAGGTATAACGCAGTTGGGGAATTCAGTATTTTTTCCACCTGTCATCTTCATTGTTTTTGGTCCTGAGAAATTCATTATTTCCCAATTTGGAAGTCTCCCTCTTTTCTTGGGTGATAGTTGTAAGCATCATTCCGCCCACAGCTTCTTCCTGCTCCTTTTACCATCTCCCACTAATACTCCTGGGTGTCTCGTCTGTACCTGCTACCCTTCAGTGGGTGCAGGCAACTCCTCCTCCTTCCTTGATTTCTCTTCTGCGCTTGTCACCTCAACTACCCAGTAAAGACACTACCAGTGTTGACTTTTTTCTGGTATGAAAATTGAATAAACAATTGGCCTTCTCCCCCTCGACCCAGAAACTTTCCCAGGGAAAATCTTGCAGCTTACATTATGGTGACAATCATTCAGCAGAATGTAAAGATATCACCATGTGTTTTTATTAAAAAAAAAAAAAATAAGTCAGGTAGTTATTGTTTTAAATCCTGACATCTCTGCAGAAAGATTTGCCAAATCAGTTTTATATTTCCTAGCCATTCGAAATCAGACACTGGACACCTGGCACTTATGTCCTTCAGCTCACATCAGAAGTGTCCCTTAAGTAACCTTTTTACCTCTAACTGGCTTTTAAAATTTTATCCAATTCTCATCTTGATTCCACGTACACACTCATGGTAGGCATTATCAACCAATTGTCAACACTTCACTCATTGTACAAATTCAGTATTGTTCTTAGCTAGCCATTTGATTCACTTTAGAATTTTTGATTCTCTGGAAGCAAATTTTTTATCATTACATTGTTCTTGATATTCATTAACTCTTTTCATGGTAGTTTATTTATCAGTATATCATTTTTGATATTCGAAAACCCTTATTATTTAACAGTAACCAAAATAGTGTTACACTTTTGATTAATTTTCATTCAAACAATTTACAATTCAAATAAATGTTTTTTGAATTGTTTTCAAATATTTATTTTTGAACAATGCATAATTGAAATATCTGGTCCAGTAGAAAAGCAAATCAAAGAAGTGGCACAAGCTCTGAATTCTCTTGAAAGAATGCCAGAAATGATTGATATTCAAATGAAAACATACTTCTATAGATCAAATAAATATTGGAAAATAAGACAACTAAAAGTATCAGCACATGTTTATGCTCTGATAACAAATCTTCATCAAATTTGGTTGAAATGATTCAAATTCCTTTTGGTTGTTAAGCAGCCTACTTATCAATGAATAACCAAGACACAAACTCATATCTATTCTATTGTTAACTTATAAATTTGGGCACTAGTTGGCCAGAGATAACATCTGAGTTCATCATAGACGTGAAAATTATAGATAAAAGAATGGCTAGTTGGAAGGCAACAGTCCAACTGAGTTGAGATAATTGTGGCTTTGTCTCTCTGATGCACCCTGTAAAAGACTGACTCATCTCATGATGCATCCCCGTATTTATGGGGAACCTGTTTCTTTCAGGTATCAGGTTACAAGTCAATTTGTATAGTGTTATTTTCCAAGTGTAGCTTAGAGGTGGCACAAGGCCGAAGGTATGGGGCACCCAGTGAGGATCGAACTCACTATTCAGTTGTAATTGTTCTAGCAAGACAAGCTTGTTAACCATTACACCACCTCAAGGTGCCCAAGTGATTTTCCAAGCGTAGCTTAGATGTGGCACAAGGCCAAAAGTATGAGCTCACTACTCAGTCGTAATTGTTCTAGCAAGGATCAGGAGAAGTGGGTTTGGTGACTTCAACCTTTGGACACACACACACACTCCCTGAGTCAGCCAAATTATTGACCCCCAGTAGATAATCAAGACAGAATCAAAGGGTAGTGTTAAAAATTAATAAAATTCTTTTACTGAATTTTAACTAAGAGCCTATCTAACTGGATCAGCTAATCCATCTCAATTTTCATTTTTTTTTTTTTTCTGACAGCAAGTGGGGATGAGGGGTTGGCGTTCCTTGTTTTACTATTAGTTAGAACCCTGAAATCATCAGTTCAAATACAAACAATTCTAGGGGCTAATACAATTTATTGTAATTAAATGTTTCACAATTAACTCCCTTAGGTATTTAATATCATATTTCATATCACAAATATTGGTTGAGGCTGGGCAAAATATGTGGGTCACATGCAGCTCGCCTGATGATTTTATACAGCCTGCAAGAGTGCTACAAATTTTTTTTTTTTTTTTTTAATGTTCATTAAAAAGAAATTGGTGTTTTTTTTTTTTTTTTTGTTTTGTTTTTTAGTACAAGTTACACAAGGTAGCAATCGATGCAAAGAAAAATCTTTGCTAACAGATTTGAATACGCAATCTTTCTTTCATTGAGTAAACTGAATTCTGATTAATAAAAACTTTCCCAGCTACCCAAATCTCAACAATAATAAAAGCTTACAGCCACATCACCGGATCCCATATGATCACCAAAGTTAAGCAATGTTGAGCCTGATCAGTACTTAAATGGGTGACTGCTTGAGAATACCGGGTGCTCTAAGATGGGATGTGCAATAGATAATGGCTTAGAATTGTTAATCGGAGAGCCGGGTTCCAATTTGAGTTGGTTTTGTTATATTCACTTATGCACAAATGCCTTGGAAAAGATATCAATCCGCCTCAACCCCACCTCCCCCTCCCCCAGCTATTTTAGCCATTAGACAAATGCAGTCCAGTTTACCAGGAAAGATGCTACAAATTGATATTACAATTTCTCTTTACTGTTGACTTCATCACCACATACCCAAAAAGTCTTAGTTAACATTTTTGGGGACTGATGATCTAAAAGAAGAGTTGAAGACGTGATTTTGGAGAACAATTTTATAATCTCAAGACCCAAGTTCTGAAATTTTTTTATACCTACTGCCGGTCGTTAATCCATGGCATTGTGGTTGATTCTGTGATATTTAGTTAAATGATAGCAATGCCTACTAGTTACCTGCTATTAATGCAAGACCAAAGCTATCAATTCTCTCACCTGTTATCAATATTGGAAGTTTGTCTGGTTTCAGCAGCTCACAAATTGTTAGACTGTCTAATTTGTTGTGTATCTGTGGATTTGTGATTTAAATTATTTCATTCACTTCCAGATTCTTTTATTGAAATGGAATACCTTCATTTTCTGTACACAATCAATAATAACCTGAAAGTCTGTTTAACATTCAACAACTGTTTGTTTACTATAAGGATATGGGTAGCTAGTAAGGAAAGACAAGAGCACTGAGAATTATAGCATAAGTATTGTAACATTGTATAATAATTATGTGCATAATAATAATAATTGGTATTGTATCTGTTCATTTGTAGTCTACATGATATACAGACTTCTACAGTAGTTTATGAAATCTGAAGTATGTTGAGATAGTGAAAGTTGCCTTTCAAAAGCTAAGCAAAATATTAAGAAAGAACAAGATTTCATTAGAAACAAAGAAAAGAGTACTGAAATTTTATACAATATCAGTCCTCCTATATGGCAGTGAAGAAGAGAATTGAAGCAACAGAAATGTGGTTCTACAGAAGGATACTGAGAATACCATGGACCAAACATGTGAACAACGACAAAGGTTTATAGAAAATGGAAGCAAAAAGGTCACTTATACTTAACATAAGGAAGAGACAATTGAAATTTATAGGGCATGTAATGAGGAAAGAGGGCTTGGAAAATTTGATACTCACAGGACAAATTGAAGACAAGAAGGACAGAGGAAAAGAATGCAAGCTTGAGTAAATAGATAGCAGGACAAGGCATAGGGAAGATAACAAAAAGATAATATTTATTAAAAGCTACATAGGAAAGGAAATTGTGGAGAGCTATGATCAGTAACATCCTGAAGAGACACAGCACATAGAAGATTGGTCCCTGCACTGAATATTGATTCCACATATGGTATGGTGTTTCTGCTATGTATCTATGTTCTTCTTGAGAAAATCCAAGAAGGAATCTGCAAAGTTATCAGTCCTGACCTGGCATCTCAGCTTCAGTCTTTTTCTCACTGCCATAACAGCTTCTCTGTGCCTTTTCTATAAATATTATCATGGCAATTGTTCAAATAAGCTTTCCTATTTATTATGTTGACTTCATGACTTTAAGTGTAGACAGCTAAGTCTCATCATTTTACTGGCTTATGGCCAAATCATGTTGAAACACCAGTTTTCCTATGATCACCAAAGTTAAGCAATGTCACAGCTAGATGGATTACCACTTGAGAGTACTAGGTGCTGAAAGCTTAGCTGTGCAGGTGATGAAATGGATCACAGCTCAAATTTGGAAATCAGAAAGCCAAGATCCAATTTCAGTCAACTTTATGTATTCACTTACATGCAAATACCCTTAAGAAAGGCATGAATCCAACTCTTCTCCTTCCAGCTATAGGTTAATTAGTAGGACTTGTATGAGAAAATCATTATTATCTCCCCAAACATTCTTACTATTTAAAAATATTTTCTGGTTTTAAATAACCTGCAAAATATTGATAAGTCATAAAAAAACAAATCACACTCCTTTTTACTGCTGAAATTGCTAAGTGTGACATTAAATTTTTTTTTTCTAATAGTTTCTTCTCTCACTCTTTTCACTTGTGGAACTCTCTTCCAGTATTTTTTTTTTTTTTTAACATGCGCTGGAGAAAAATTGGGTGAATTTTGATTATATCGGATTTACTTTTTTTTTCTTGCCTGAATTTTTGGAATGAGACACTATTGTTCACCTGTCCTGGATATGACAATGATCTACATCTGACAGCAGCAAGACCTCTGATCAGGAGGTTTTGAGGAGTGTGGAACCACCTCTTAATTGCTGTTGTTCCCAGGTCCACCCTGACCCAGGCTCATAGCATCTCTTAAGGTCTCATCTATGGGCTAATTGTGATCCCACAAACTGAGGTCAAAACATGAAAATATAAAAATACATTACCAAAGTAAAAAAAAAAAAAAAAAATTTACCAAAGCTCACAAGAAAATAAAATTTTGGTATTAAGTGATCCAGAAGGTATCATTAAGCAAACAAATCAAATCGGTACGGAGCCGATGGGATAAACCTGAGGAAGGCCGGAGAGCACAACTGCTGAAATATTATAAAGAAAACAATAAAGATGAAGATAATAGCCTGAATATAAATAGTGTAAATAATGAATTTACTCAATCCTGCTAAGTTAAACCAGTGATCCATCTTTACTGGTATTATTTTTGCACTTATGGAATCTAATTAAGAGTCTTAATTTATACTTTCTCTCATCCATTTCTTCTCAGTCTAACCCTTCTACAATCTGCTTTAATTTGTTTTAATGCTACACATCTCCTAAAGTGCATTTTCATGCACAAACAGGGACCCCATCCAGTTACACTGTACATCTTACAGTGGGTAGCAGCAGAAAGTTGTTAGGCTTATTTCTTAATCTTGACATTCGGAAGATTAACTAATAAACACGCACATTTATTCTTGAAATTTACCCAGTATGTATGCTGATAACACAACTATTTACTCGTGTCTTAATAGTAAATCTGATCAGTTTGATGAGTTCCAATTGCCATCTGATCTAAAAAAAAAAAAATGACCTACAATCTGTTGTTAACCAGACAAAGATTGGCTTTTTAATTTTAATGCTTCCAAAACAAAAACTGTTGTGTTTTAAGTGTCTGAGAGAACCCTTTTTGCTTTCCATCAATATGACTGATGCTAACCTCCAGGAGAATGACTCATTAAGCCTTCTCAAAAAAAAAAAGAGTATATTGAATCAAATGCTAAGTTTGCAGCTAGGAAAGTTGGTTCACTGTATCAAGCTAGACAATTTTTCTCACAAGAATCTGTTACATATTTATAAGTCTATTATTTATCCATGCATTGAATATGGCTGCCACATATGGTCTGTTGCTTCTACTATATATTTAGAAATCCTTGATAAAATACATAGTACTGGCCTGACATCTTTGTTTCACTCACTTTCCCACTGCCATAATGTAGTGCCTTTTCTATAAATATTTTCATAGTAAAATTTTCTGATGCACTTTCCTCTGTGGTATGTCAACTTTATGAATTTAAGCACAGTACTAGATTGGCAGAAAGGTCTCATCATTTTACAGTTGAAATGGCAGCTAGATGCAATCATAAGTTCTATGTTAACAGTTTCTTCTCTTGCACTTCTCACTTGTGAAACTCTCTCTTCCAGCTTTTTGTTTTCTAATCAAGTTTGATCTTCAAAAATTTAAATGCATTGTCAAGCATTATATTCTGTTTTCTTAATTTCTGTTCTTTTATTGTTCTTTCTATTTAATGTATTTTTTCCCATATTCTCTCACACTCAGTAACTCCTTGCAACTTAGTGTTGTTATTACCTTGCTTGGGGTGAAATGATTAGAAAAATGTTGGCAATAGTCTATTGATTTATCACTTACCCACTCAAGTACTGTTGATTCCACTGAGAAGTATGGGATCTCAACATGCTCAGCATTGCCACTTTAGTTTCTATACCAGGTGTTTTTTTTTGTTTTGTTTTGTTTTTGCTTTTTCCAGAATGGAATTGCTAGCTCTATACCCAACCAGTTTTGAATTCAGACTTGTCCTTCTAAACCAAGTTTGAAAAGCCCAGTGTCACCAACTATTTATCCCATAGTTAAGGGGCCAAGATATGGATCCATACCTTTCCTAAGGGTGCTTGTATAATAAGGGGATGTAACAAACTCAACTTGGATTAAAACTCAGCTCACTAATTTCTCATTCCATGATACTAACCATTACAGGACCTGTAAATCAATTTATTGATTTGATTTATACAGCAAGTAAAATTTAAGAAACTTTTAATCAAATATTTATTTTTATTATTTTTAGACACTTTAAAGAAGGTCTTCGAAAGATTTTACTTTAAAGTAATTGTGGTTGAAAATTTAGAAAAAGCAGAAATGGAGAAGAATTTTAAAGAGATTGCTTCTAAAGACCACAAAGAGTATAACTGCTTTGTTTGTTGCATTCTTTCACATGGGAAAGAAGGAGGTATTTTTGGAGTGGATGGTGAATTGTTGACTTTCAAGATGCTTACTTTACCATTTAAGCCAAATAACTGTCCAAGCTTAAATGGAAAACCTAAACTATTTTTCATACAAGCTTGTCAAGGACAAATATATCAATCTGGAACCGAAGACTATGGTAAGTTCCATTTTTATAGTTTTAATTAAATTTTTAAAATTATCACCTATTATGTATCATGTCTCTTCAGCATGTGGGAAAACATTGCTCTCCACAATTTCTTGTCCTTTGTAACACTAAGTAATATTTCTCCTCTTACTATCCCTCTCACCCACTATTCTTCTATAAATTTGCACAATCTTGTTATGTTGATTACTGTTTCTCTCTGCCCCTCTTGTATGCAGTATGTACTGTGACTGTCAAATTCTCCAAGCACACCTTCATCATTGTGTCACAAATGTTTCAACACTTTCTGATTCTATGTATGAGTGTCTTTTTTCCTTCCATTTTCATTAAAACTTTCTTGTTCCTCACTTGTTCCATCCATAGTATTCTCAACATCCTTCTGTAGAGCCAAATCTCTGTTGCTTCAAATTTCCTTTTCATCTCTAAAGAAGTTGTCTCACATTCACTGCCATATAAGAGAATTGATATTATCTTGCAGTTCAGTTCTTTTTCTGTTTCTAATGCTATTTTCCTGCATCTTAATATGTTGTTAAGCTTTGAGAAGGCATTTTTTCTATTCCAATGCAGCTTCAGCTTTTTATGTTACATTTTCTATTATCTTTTAAAATACTTCCCAGATAATTAAATTTCTGTACTTGATTTTGACATCTCCAATTCATAGCTGTCAATTTTGTTAGTGAACAAACATTTATATTTTTACAGCTGATGGTTAAACCTAAATTAATACTTTCCGTTAACATTTTGATAACCTTTCTAAAATAGATTATTTTAAAAATCATTGAAATATTCAGTGTTATAAAAATTAAAATTATTTTAGAGGAGACTAATTGATTGATCTTCATGTGAAAGGAATTTTTAAAAAATTTTAATATTCTTAATTTCCCTAATAGTTATACACCAGTAACAAAATCAATCTAATGTTAATAAAAACACTTTCAACTGTTGCGGAAAATCTCCCAATGGCAGGAGATTGTCAGTTCAATCCCCAGATGATTCTTTTATGCGCTTCCAATTTTCACTGTTAAATACTTCCTTTATTGCTCCCCTTCTTCTCAGGCATGTTAGACAAAATATCTGACAGTATAGAAATGGCTCTCTCTACATTCATCTGCAAATATCTTTGTGTTTGTTGATTTTAATGCTCATCATGTCAAGTGGCTTCATCATTCTAATACTACTGATTTTTCTGATATTCAAACTTTGAATTTTTCAGTTGCTCAGTCTCCAAGTCAAATAGCAAATTTTCCTACTTATTTCCCTAATAATTCTCACCAACATGCTTCTTTACTTGATCCTGAATCGAATCAGCACTAAATCGGCTGAACTCAATATACATTAAAAAACTAAATTACGTCTTTGCCCACCATACAGAAGCAAAGACAAGATGAATCGATTGATAATTTTTTTCCAAAGTCTCGAAAAATTAAGGCGAGACTGCAACTTTAAGGACAGAACGGTTAAGCAAGTCAGCGATGAAGCTGTGAAAGATGCTTTCATTTGTGGGATAACATCACCAGCAATCTGACAGAGATTACGGGAAAATAAGAACTTGGATCTGCAGACAGCTCACGAACAAGCACTAACACTGGATTTAGTCCAGAAAAACAATGCAGCTTGCTTTTCTCCCTCCAATTCAGCCATTGCTGTCATTAACAACAGGAGACCATGTGGCAACTTGACAGGCAGTAGTAGTGAAGAAAAAAAAATAATCAAACCACTGTCACATCCAACCAAAGATATATAACAATTCTTGTAAGAAGATTTCCACTACAGCTTTGAATAATAACACCGGGAAGAAAGTTTGTTTTTTCTGTGGTATTATACCTTACCATAAACGATCCATTTGTCCGGCACGTGATGTAATTTGCCATCACTGTGATAAGCAGACACATTACCAAAAAATGTGTAGGTCATCAAATGTGACAACTAATGCTATGATTCATTCAGCTTGTATCTCTGTAAACACTACTAACGTACCAGTGGGACTTTCCCATGCTGCTACTTTTGTCATGGTTGAAAATAGAACCTTCAATTCTCTAATAGATTCTTGTGCTTCTGAAAATTTTATCAGCAAAAAAGTGGTGGATTTATTGTCTCTGAGGATTTTTCCCTTGTCAAAAAAAAGTAAGTATGGCCCAGGAAAGTATTAATAGTCAGTCTAATGGATTTGTAGTAGTCGATTTTAAACTGAGTCTTAACAATAAATTATATACTTCCGTTCGTTTGACTATCATGAAGGACTTCTTTTGTGATGTTGTTCTTGTATGGGAATTTCAATCCCGACATCTTAAGGTCACATTTTAATATGGTGGTTATTTACCGGAACTCATTGTGAAAGGCACAGGTGCTTGTCTTGCCCTGGAAGCTGCTGATATAGCTGAACGAACTTTGTTCCCAGGGATTTCAGTTAAATGCAAACCAATTGCTACTAAATCAAGACGTTTTAGTAAAGAGGACTCTGATTTTATTGCTGTGGAAATTAGCAAACTTCTGGAAGATGGGATTATTGAACCTAGTATTTCACCGTGGCATGCACAATTAGTAGTGGTTAAAGATGAAGCTAAAATACACAAAAAACGATTGTGTGTGGACAATTCCCAAACCATAAACATCTACACAGAACTAGACGCTTTTCCATTACCAAGAATTTCCGATCTGGTTGCAAATCTTGCCAGGTATAAATACTTTTCAACTTTCGATCTAAAAAGTGCCTACCATCAAATCAAGCTCAAACAATCTGACAGGAAATATATTGCTTATGAAGCAAACGGCCAACTTTTTCACTTTACCCCTGTCTCCCATTTGGGGTAATTAATGGTATCCCTGCTTTCCAACATGCTATGAATGAAATTGTAAAAGAAGAAAATCTGACTGATACATTTCCCTATCTTGATAATGTGATAATTGGGGATGAAACAGAAGAGGAACATAACAATGTGGAAAATTTTATGAGGGTAGTGAGGAAAAGACACTTGACTTTGAACAATTCCAAAACCATAAAGAAAGTAACTACATTAAATACCTTAGGGTATTGTGTAGAGAATGGAAAGATAAAGCCTTACCCCGAATGAATGAAGTCATTGCAGTAACTACCACCACCTAAAAACATGAACAGTCTGAAGAGAATCAGGGGAATGTTTGCTTACGAGGCTAAGTGGATCCCTGAATTCTCAGAAAAAATACAACCCTTAGTGAAAGCGAATCAGTTCTCATTGGAAGAGAAGGCACTTAAGGCATTTAATACATTGAAATCAGAACCTACCCCTTCAGTTAGATTGTGATGCTTCAGACTATGCTGTTTCTGCTGTACTTAGCGAAAACGGAAGGCTCATAACATTCATGTCAAGATCACTCCATGTAAATGAAAAGGGATATAGCATCGTTGAGAAGGAAGCTCTAGCCATGATAGAGGCCATACAAAAATGGAAGCATCTCCTGTCCCCACATCACTTCAAACTATACACAGATGCAAGGTCTAAAGTAAAGAATGCGAAAATCAATGAATGGAGAATGGAACTCAGAGAATTATCCTTCGACATTGTTTCTTCCCAGTCGATATTCAATGTAGCTGCCGACACTTTCAGTCTCACTTATTGTGCATCATTAAGTTGCCAAATCTCGGTTCCGGTGGAATTACATGAAAAACTATGCCATCCAGGTGTCTCAAGACTTTTACATTTTGTGCGGTCAAGAAATCTCTTCTTTTCAACTGAAGATGTCAAGAAAACCTGCACAGAACTCAAACCCCAGTTCTATCGACCAACTGAAGGTACATTGATAAAAGCCACTGGTCCAATGCAAAGGATCAGTATTGACTTTAATGGGCCCATCCCAACGGCTTCTCACAATCCATATTTGTTAGTCATTGTTGATGAATATTCACAATTTCTATTATATTCCTGTCCAGACATGCAAACTTCCACAGTCATAAAGTGCCTGAAACTCCTTTTTAGTATGACTGGAATGCCACACTACATACATTCAGATAAAGGCCGTTCTTTTATATCCCAGGAGCTAAAGGAATATTTACTTGGTAAAGGGGTTGCTACCAGTAACTTGACACCCTATCACCGACAAGATAATGGTTAAGCCAAACGGTATGTAAGGGTTGTCTGGAAAACAATCTAATTGGCGCTTAAGTCACTCAAGCTACCAGATAAACATTAGGAGCAGGTCCTACCACAAGTGAACTTAATCAAAGCATATTTACCAAAAATGCTCCCTCAATTACAGATCCATCTCACGTGCAGCATTAAATGCGAAGGCAAATCAAGGCATGGTATAGAAAGAATAAAGAGGCTGATCTAGAAGCAAATTTCCTGATACAAAAAGGATACAACATGGCTATACTTGAGAAAAAGGAATAAAATATACTGGCACATACAGATCTATTCAGAAGCAGAAATGAACTGGATGACATGGAAATGGAAGATCATGAACAAGAAAAGAGTCACAAAAGTGGAAAAGAGTAGGCAATGGAAGAAAGTGAGAAGGAAAAGACAGACAAGAGTGAAGAGGAAATTGAAAAGAGACCGAAATCTCCTTTAAAGAGAAAATAAGAAAGACAAGAGGAAAGACAACACAATATGAGAATAATCAGGAAGAGTATAAGTAAAAACAAAGGTATACACCCTCTCCGATTCAGGGAGATTTAGTATCATATGCAAATAAGATAGACAAGCATAAATAGGGAGCAACTGGTGAACATAAGGGCATTGCTTAGCAAATCCGTTTGCTAAACATAACATGGAGAACTGTGCTACGACTGCTACTACACAGAGAGATATACCAAACAACAGTTTTCTCATTTTTTTTTTTTATCAATCTCAATAACTCCTTACCTTGCTTCAGGTGAAATGATTTTAAGAAAATTAAAAAGTATGTCTTGGGACACATAATGAGGAAAATGGCTTAGAGAATTTAACACTTTGAATCAGACAAAAGAAACACATAGCCTTTCAAATCTATTGTTACTCTGTTGCTACTTCCATGGCAAATGGGCTGACAAGCTTCATTATATCATGTCACTGAGCAAGACCTACTTTGCAATGTTCACAGGATTTAATCACCTTCATTCTGTATATGTTCCTTGAGTAAGAATGGCATTCCACTCAAAAAGCTTAGTTATAGAACTGCTACTTTGTGGAACCGACTCCTACGTGGATACTTCCCAGAATACTATAATCTCTAAGTCTAGAGTCAATCATTATCTATCTTTACTTCCTCTTATTACATGTATATCACATGTACATCATACAGTAATCCTCTACCTTAAGTGACTCTTGAGGCTTGTATTAGGTTAAGTTATAAGGTTAGATGTTATAAAGGAGAAAATATTGCTTAAAACGAGAACAATAAAAGAACATGAATTAAGAGAACAGTACATAATGCTTGGCAATGCATCTAAATAGGGACCTCCATTGACTTTTCAATACCTAAGGTTTAAAATTAATTTTTAAAAATGAAAAAGCATTCTTGAAGATTTCATTTTAACTTTAATTGATTGCTAAATGATTAAATTTACTATTTCCAGTAAGTAAAATGTGGTGTATTTTAAATAAAAATTATAGAGATTGGAATCTCAACTTTTTGGCCGATTTAAGAAAATTTTCTTAAAAGCAGCCATTTTCTTAATTTTAAGAAATTTGTAAACAAAATAAAATTATCGATTTTAAAAATCTTTCAAAAATAATATTTGTGACACATTATTTGAATAAAATTAAAGTTAAATTGATCTGATTTGTAACAAATATTACTTAATTATAGCATAAAAAATATAGTATACAAGTATTTCTTAACAACAGGTCCTCTTTTTATCATGTTTTTATTGATGTTATTGACATCACCAATAAGTTACTAGGTGATGACAGCTAGTCGAGATGACCAGAATTGACAAATTTATGAAATATAAGTGAACACATTTTTTTTTTCTAACTACCTAGTAATTTTTACAAATTAACATAGTATTTTCAGCAATTATCTAATATTTTATTGACTTTTATTTACATTTGAAGATACTTTATGAAAAAATAATAAAATTTAAGATAATATAAAATTTTCTTAGATTAATTTTTAAATTTAATAACTGACATAAAATACCATGATAGAGGTAAAAATCAATAATTTATGAAATGTTACGGTATTTTATTTATTTTTAATTATCATGATGGTTATTTTATTATTAAATTTTTATAGTACTTTAAATTATTAATTACATATTTGTTTAAACTTTTATTATTTTAACCCAATACCCTTAACAATATTTTTTTTAAGGATTATGTCATGTATAGGTTCCCATAGGTAGAAATTGGGAATGCTTAAACACTAACATTTTTTTTTTAATTATTTAAAAAATATTGGGTTACAAACAACTGTTATGACCTTTTCAATTTTCGATTAGTAAATGTACTTTTCACTTAACAATATCAAAAAACCGCCAGCTTCAAACGATGCAGAATTTTAAACAATTTTTTAATATTATAAATTATTTAATTAAAATTTTTTAAAAATGAAAATTCTTGTAAAACTTAATTATTCACCAAAAAAATGTTCTTTTAAGACAATAATGTTCTTAATTAATCTTATTTATCAAAGCAATTAAAAGCTTTTCTAATTAAATAATGTCATAGTTTTATTGCATTTATTATTTTACAATTCAGAGCAGTTTTTTGGTGAATGGGTTAAATGTTTTACAAAAAAAAAATTGATTTACCATCTCCAGGAGTCTTGCTTATAACTAACAAATCCCTATAGTAAAAAATATATATATATATATATATATATATATATATATATATATATATATATATATATATATATATATTTATATATTTTTACCAGAATTTTCTTAAAATAAAAATTTCAAAAAACATTTCTTTCATTTCTGAATATGTCCTGAAAGCTTCATTAAAATCCCACAATTACTTGATTTTTGAAAGAATTTCCAAAACAATGTGTTCTTCACTGGAAAAAGCACAAAAAAACTAACCTTTATCTTTGGTTCGCCACTGACATAAAAAGAACAAGATTTTTAACCAAAATTTTGAACATGCTACAAAGGACTAAAAATTTCAAAAAAATAATTAAAATATACTTTGGTCTTAATAATAACATAAACATTTTAATGACAAAACTGTTTTTATTGAGTTTGGGGCCTTTTTTCATCATCTTATGCTGTTTTTTACATGGCCAAATGGAAATACCTACATTTAAATGTAGCTTCCTTGTACCTTTTCTATAAATGGTAATTGTTCTGATGAAGTTTCCTCTTTGATAACTAGACAGTATGAATGTGTGTAATACTAGATTGGCAGCAAGATCTCATCATTTTACAGTTGAAATAGCAACTAGATGTAACCATAACTTCTCTGCTAACAGTTTCTTTTCTCTCACTTCTTGCTTTGGAACTCACTTCCAGCTTCTTGCTTCGGAACTCACTTCCAGCTTCTTGCTTCGGAACTCACTTCCAGCTTCTTGCTTCTCTATCTACTTTGATCTTCAAAAATTTAAATGTAATATCAATTGTTATCTTCCATCTTCTTAATTCTTGTTCTTTTATCATCTTCTTTCCTAAACAGTATATTTTTCTCATATTCTCTTGCATCTTAGTGGCTTTATTGCCTTGCTTCTGGTGAAATAATTTAAAAAAAACTCTGGAAATTTTAAGGTTGATTTAATTCCATTGATCAGTGTTTTGGGTGGTGTTATTTATTTAATATTTGTTTCTTATATCTTGAAATTTGTTAAATTGATTACTCCTCATGATAATAATAAGATAATAATTTTAGAAGGCATTATAGCATTAATCTTTATTTGCATTTGTAGAAACAGATGGTGCTAAAGCTCCATTAATTCCTAATGAAGCAGATTTCTTAATGGCTTATGCTACTGTTCATGGATATGTGTCCTTTCGAAGTATGAGCAAAGGATCTTGGTTCATCCAGAAGCTGTGTGAAGTTTTCTTAAATAATGCTAAAAGGTAAGATCAGATTTAAAAGGAAGTATTAAGTTTAGTACCAGTGTCTTTTGAAATAGTTACCATATATACTTGTGTATCACCCTAATTATATGTATAATGTGATCCCTGATTTTTTTTAATTAATTTTAACCCCTCCAGAAAAAAATTACTTTTGTGTAATGCAACCGATCACTGAAAATGCATGATTTTTAAACTCTTCAAAAAATTTATCTGCGTATATTACAACCACCTATATTTTGCATTAAAAAACTGATCTTAGAAACTTACTCAAGTATATACAGTATTTCAAATAGATTTCTTAAATATTAAAGTAGCATTTTGATTGGTGTATTTTTTACAAACTTCTGTATGGACAATCTGTAAGGAAAAGGATGTCTCTCTTTCTTTTATCTATTTAATTTTTTAACCAGAAAAAATTGACAAGCATATTTGCTTTCAGTATAGTGAACACACATCTTTATTGTTTGTATGTTTTATCAGTCACAAATCAAATGACTGTTTGGCTAGTTAACTCAGCCAACATCTTTGCCAATAAATTCAATTGTAGTAATATTCAAATTCTAATTAAAATAACTTTTAAAGATTTTAGAAGCATGTCAAAAAGCTGCATGAAAAGAGGATTAACATATATCAAAATGGAAGATTCCAAGAAAAAGCCACAAAAAATAAGATCTAAAATATGTTGAGAAAATAGATTACAAGTCATAAAGAGAGAATTTTATTTAGTCCCCTGGGAGGGGAGTGAGTGGCAGTAGTGTTCTAATTCCACATACCACATGCCTTTGGATATCTCACTTTTAGTTAATTCAACTTGATAACTCTCCAAGGAAACCAAGGCCCAATGGATAAAATAGTTATTTGATTGACTCCAGGCATGCATGGGAAATAAATATTTTCATCTTGCCATTACCAACATTTTCTTTATGGCATTATGTATAAAAATATTTATGGATAAAATAAAATATTATTATTTATTATGTTTATTTATTATTGTTTATTATATTTATTTGTCATTAAAGATAAAATAAAATATTTATGGATAAAATATTTACTTGGTTTCACTGCTCAGGCTTAAGTTAGTCTCATTGTTAAACACATAATGTTTCTAAGGAACAAATTTTGTTATATCATGGAACTTTTTAGTTTCAAAATTATATCTCAATAAAAATCATATTTTAAGAATTTACAAGCAAAGCAGTTCAAATATTTTCCAAATATTTAATTTAAAGTTCTAACAGAGCTGACAGGTTGGACTACTTTAGAAAACCCAGAACTACTACTAAATTTTGTATATTACTATTTCTGGGAGCTTGTTTTAAGAAAGCTTGATTAAATTCGGTACAATTTTATCATCTTCATGTCTTTCATTTTGCTATTGCCAGCACTTTTTGGCTGATGCATTCTATTCTTGCGGGTGTATGCTGATTTTAGGTCGGAAAAATACATGTTTCCTGGTATATATTTCTCACAACATTAATTACAGACTGGAATGTGATTCCGGGTAATAATATATAAAGTAACAACTAATATATATATATATATATATATATATATATATATATATATATATATATAAACAAACAATTTTATTATCAATGCAAAGGTTTATATAAACAACAGAAAATTGTGTGTTACAAAACAATGAATATGAAAGAAAGCATTTAAATTAGTGAAGTTCTTTGTGTAGAAGGAATCCTAGGGAACGGTTATGGAACATGAAGAGGAAGGTGCTGGCATGTGTGTGTGTGTATACCCATCATGGGTTGTGTTTCTCCACATGGTTACCTATATCTTACCATCCCTGGGTGAAATAAGAAATTGAGGATGACAGAGAATGTTACTGCCTAATTATAGGCTTAGGACACATCCCTTAGCAACAGTTTTTTTAGGAAAGTAAGTGGGATAACTCCACACTGTGACCTTCTTTAGTAAGGAAAAAATGAAAAGCAATAGCAAAATATGAAATTTCATCTAAGCAACAACTTTTATATTCTGCTTGGATTCATTTTTCTTTTGGTAAGTATAACAATATGGATTTGGATGTAAATAATGTAAATATCCATATTTACATTATTTACATCCAAATTAATGCCCTTATTTATGCTGTTATCTCTGACTTTCTTCAGGTGAATGTTGATCTAGGTAACCTTCAGGGAATTTCAAACTGACCCCTTTATTTAATCTACATGAGTAAATTGTTCTTATTCCACTGTCCATGTCTAGGCATATCTTGTCCAGTTCTTATTTAGTACCTTTAGAAGAATATATTTAATTTTTATATAATTTACATTCAGAAAAAACACATATAAAATTAAATAAAAAACTTAACCACAATACCTTGTCAGTCATTTTTAATGAAACTTGTGTAAAATAAGGATTGCTGCCCAAATGCACAAAACATGTATATATATGACATTTTTATGTTTTTAGATTCTTTTTTAGAGATATATAAACATAAAAATGTCTTAAAATAATTGTTGGACTTTGTTCATTTTTTATATATATATATATATATATATATATATATATATATATAAACTGCATCTAGAGATTATATGCAAAAGAGGTATTGTCAAATATTTTATGTAAAATTCATAGATATGTGTTATCCAATGAAATAATTTGTACTATTATGTATAGCGAGTAAGCATGAAAGCAATTAAGTCCCAATTTTCAATTTCAGATTGATATTTAGTATTTTTTTCAGTAATTATAGCAATTTGCAGTGTCAAGAGATTATTTGCAAGAACTAGAATTTAGTATTATGGCTCATAAAAAAAAAGAACTAACAATGAATGAAAAGAACTATATATATATAATCAAAGAAATTAGCAAAGGAAAGTCTTCGTTTCAAATTTCTAAGGATTTGAAAAGGGATCATCAAACAATCTAGAAAATGTCAAATGGGAATTCAACCAAGGAAAAAAAGTCTCAGGCTGAATTCAGGAATTTAACAAAGCGAGATCTATCACGTATCCGAAGAGAATTAATAAGAAACCCAAATGCATCAAGTGCATTCATATTTAAGGCCACTGGAGCTCCTATGGTGTCAAGGGAAACAATGTGTAAAGCATTAAGGAAGTTTGCTGATGTAAAAAATCAAATAAAGAAACCCATTTTAACAAAAAAACATAAGGAAAGAAGATTGCAGTGGGCAAAAAAATACATGAAAACTGATTTCAGTAAAGTGCTTTTTACAGACGAATCACCCTCGATGGGCTCAAAGATGGGCTTGCAAGCAACATGACTCAAGAAAATTTTTTAAACACCATTAAGGCGGCAGTGGGATCAAGATATGGGCTGGGATTATTGGTAATGAGCTTGTGGGTCTATTTAAACTGAAAGAAGGGGTTAAAATGAAATTCAAAAGTTACTATGATTTTCTAGAGCAATATTTCTTTGAATGGCTTGATAGCCAGTCTTTAGCCAAGCATAGATCTATGATCTTTATGCAAGACAACGCACCAAGTTATGCATCAAAGTTTACTAAATCCTGGTTGAAAGAAAAGGGGTTTATTGAAGATTCTCTCATGGACTGGCCTTCAAATAGCTGTGACTTGAATCCCATTGAGAATCTGTAGAGCATCCTCAAGAGAGATACTTATTGTAATGGAAGAAACAACTTACCAGCCACTAAAATTGCAAATCTAACATCAGATGTTGACAATAGGCTGCTAAGAGTTATTTAAAAGAAAGGAGCATTTGTGCAATAAATTTTAGGAGGGTCTTATTATTTTTGTTAATATATCTTTTATTTTTAAAATAAAATGTTTTTTTAAGAAATTAACGAATTTGTTCTAAAATCTTTTCATATTATTTTTTTACATTAGTTTTACAAGGTATAAGTATCAAAATAAATAGTTGCAAATAAACTACTAACAGTCAAATTAATCTGTTTTGTTAACTTAGTAAAATTTTTTCCAACCAAAAACAATAGTTTTCTCTATCACTATATATTGAAGTTAATAATATTGAGTAGAATCTAAACATCATAATAGGACTTTTAACATTAAAGACACAACTCTTTATACCAATTCATAACTTGCATATAATCTTTAGACGCAGTTTAATATATATATATATATATATATATATATATATATATATATCCATAGACAGCCTGTTTTGCTGTATCACAGCTCATCAGTGTGGCTAGACATACGATTGCTTCAAGCTGGGATTGAAACTCGACTGATTTGGCATCAGTCAGAGACTATTCCTAAGCTATAAGTGCCTGCTGGAGAAAAGGAATCTTTTAACGTATTATATATGTGATGTATATAAATGCTAGACCAACAGCCAGAATGCTCAATTCTGTTGAAGAGCTATATATATATATATATATATATATATATATTTATTATTATAATTATACTTAAAAGATATTATGAAGCTATTAAATAAATGTTTTTCTTCCTTTTTCCTCTTCAGATTGGATTTGAGTGACATGCTGTTAATGGTGAATAATAGTGTCAGCCATTGTGATGGAAACTTAAAAAATAATACTGTTAAACAAGTTCCAGCTCCATTATCCACCCTGCGGAAAAAAGTTTTCTTTTTGGCTGATTCAGAGTGAAAAATTCCTTCTAGGTGTTATTATTTTACACTTTTTATATTTCTTTTTAATGAAGTATTATGCTGTGTTCATTTTTTTTTTTTTTTTTTTTATACAAAAATATCAAATGCCTGACAAAACTGGATATTTGGCTGTTGCAACATATAAATATAAATTCCTAATTAAGAAATCATGTCTGTAAAGAAAAAAAAAAAAAATAGGTCATATTTTTGTTAATCATTTCAGTAATGATTTATCATTATTTGCTAAAGTTTTGGATTGACTTTTTATTTAATTACTGGCCAAATTGAAAATTGATCCATATGTGCTGCTAATGTTGTCTTTCTCCCCAATTCATGGTAGTACACAGTTATTAATTACATAAGCATAGTTTCAAAGTTAACATTTGTAAATAATAAAAAAAAAGTAAAATATTCACTCCCGGCTGGATTCAAACCTGTGTCACCCTGAGCAGAGGAAACTGTCATTAAATCTGACATGCTTTAGACCTCTCGGCCATAAAGTGCATCGATGATCAATCAAAGTTGTCTTTAAACACAAATCTTATCTAGACTCTTGAAATATCTGCTGGAGAGCACATATTTTTCTTTAATAAGATTTCTCTAATATTCAGGTCGGTAGATGAAAATAAATAACTATACTGTTTAATAAATAAACAGAGCATCTACTCAAATATAGGTATCCGCTAAAATAACATTTAAGTAATAAAATAAAGAAGTATAGATAACTGTTTATGAATCAAATTGAGACTGTATTTATATTCTGAACAAGACCTTCAAAAAAATCTTTTTTTTATTCTGACAAATGTTGTGGGTAGAAGAATACCTAATGAATGCTAATCTTGTTTTGTATGAACAGACCAGTTAAGTGGTTTCATTTAGTCCATCTACTGAAGCAGTTTACTATTGCGTGGCATTTGAAACCAGTGCATGAGATTTTTAGCAGCAGATAGGGATCAACAATGGCTCTCTTCCCTACAGAAAAGGATGCAGCAAGTTGACACCGGTGACTTTGACACACACTCACACGCATCTATCTATCTCTTGAAAGAAGTACTTTTTAAATTATGTACTCTTTTTATAATAATTTTATTTTGTTAAAACTATTTTTTTTATTTTTTAGATAAAATATTTTCATCTGGAATTAACTTTTTAACCAGAATCACAAGTGAAAATATAATATTTAAGCTCTATTTTGTGGGAGTGTATTAATAGGAATGGTAAACCTTCTGTTAAATTTCATAAAATCCTAACAGAGAAATATTTAGTGTTCATAAAACATAAATAGCAATCATTTTTCTTAGCAGTAACAATGAATGAAGTCTAGGATTTATAATATTCTTGCTTGACAAATTTATCTCATGGGTCATTACTATTGTAGTGAGTTCAGTCTTCATAAGTACCTCAGCATTTTTCATCTTGCATCAGACTAAGCTAAGCCTAGTCAATCAACAGTTTATTGCGAAATTTCTTGAGTCATGTGGCTCCATGAGAAAATCATTTTTCTCCACCAGTTTATCCAGTGTGAAGTTTGGTTCTCAGGTTTTTATTTATTTTACTACACTTTGAATTGGCTTCCTAATGTGACCAGACCACGAAGGTCCCTCATCCCGGAACGAATTCTTCGTCAACAATGACGAGGCAGGTAGCTAGAAGCTGGTCTCTGAGTCGACTCCACCTACAGTGAACTCCCTTGCCCATGCTGTGAATTTGATCTCGAGGAAGCCATGTGGGTTTTCGCTATGTGTCTCTCCGCCAAGTCAAACCAATCCAGACATGGACGCACAATTGGGTAAATGAAACAGCATCAAATATAAACAGAACAACGCCTGAGTAAGTTGTAGAAAAGAAAGTCTTTATATACAGAAGAATTCAGAGTACAATCACCAATTGTTTTCTTCCCAACCCCTGTTCCTAACAAGCTGACCATTGAATGGAAGTCTCGACTAATTTCCTTAAGGGGTGATTTTCAAGTTTTCTGGTTGGCGTTATTTCTTCACTCCGGTCAGAGTTCTTGGTTGGTGTTATTTCTTCACTCCGGTCGGAGTTCTTGGTTGGCGGCAATTCTAAGTGTCTTTGTTTTTCTTCATACCGAAGACTGTCTCTGATTGTTGCGGAGGTTGGCGGGCAGCGGTGTTGGTACCTCAAGCCTCACTCCTCGGCTATTCTCCGGCTCTAAGTGTACTGCAACTGCACTCTCATTCCCCCCTTAGGGCTCTGTATTTATGCTTGCCCATCCTTTACTGGGATGGGGACGACAGTCACTGGGGTTTCTATGCAAACCTCGTCTCAGACCCTTGTTAGCCAATGAAATTACGTTTCCCAGGAAAATTCAGTTTTTTTTTTTTTTTTTTTTTTTTTTTTTCATATTTCACCAATTAGCATAACCTTTGAACCTGCCATAGATAACCGAATAAGCAATTTCCTTATGATACACTTTATAAATGCATTTTGCCTTTGTTCAAATTTAGAATTTCCAAACTACCTGGCCTGTTTAAATCCTGTTAACAAAATTCACTTCCAACTCATTCCGTTGGGGGTCAGAGGACATCCATTGTTCTGTGTTGACACATTTTTTTTTTGTTTACAATCCACAGCTGGAAAATGCTTTCTCCTTGATTAAACAGTCCTGTTTCATAGCTGTCATCAACAGTTGATTGACCCCCAAAACCTCATCTGATATGACTGTTTTACTTTGAGAATACCATGACTCTTGTGACAATTTTACCTGCACCTAATTCCTGCTCAATTACAACTCCTTTCATTAAAAAAAAAATTTTTTTTTTTTTTCCTCTGTTCATATTGGAAACAGAATAGGACATCACCTAATTTAATTTTCTTCCGTTTGGTCTCTAATAATCAATGGTATAAACTAATGCAATTTCTTCCGTTTGGTCATGCTAAATATTGTTACACTAATGCTCATCCAAATATTAAATTATTTTGACTAATTACTGTTTTCCTGTACGGCAGTGAGTGCTGAACAATCTCCGCAAAGATGAAGAGACTTGAAGCAACAGAAATGGTTCTACACAAGGATGCTGATAATACCATGGACTGAACATGTTAGCAATGATAAAATTTAGAGATAATAGAAACAAAAAGGAAACTAATATTTAACATCCAGAAGAGGGCTTGGAAAATCTGATATTCACAGAACAGATTGAAGGCAAGAGGGGCAGAGAAAACCAACACATAACATACTTGGTGAGCTTCAGTAAATGGATGACGGAACAGGGTTTAGGAGAAATAACAAAGAAAAGAGCTATAGGTATAACATGCACACCCCAGTCAGACCTGGGTTACAGCAGCCAGATAGTATGGCCACACACCACCTATACCAGAAGATATGACCACACCTGCAGCCCAATCCTCAGAGTTGTAGGACAGTGAGTTAATCAAGAGTCCAACCTACGCTGACCAGCACTGTCATCAGTTAACTGGTTGTTGGTTTTAATTCACACCAGTCTGCCCATGCTGTGTTCTTTGATCTGAGCAGTGAGAATCAAATGTCGGTGGTAATTTGGAGCAGTGGCTGAAGCCACAGCAAAGCTGTATTATGAGTGAAATAAAAATGTTCATGCAGATGAAATAAAAACAAAATTTGACAGGTTAGATTTAAATTGGTTTATATAGTTCCTGGTACAAAAATCAACACTTCCCTCTTAAATTTCTATAATAACACTTTGCTCTTCTAAATCTTGAAAAAGGGTTCAAAGTCAGGAATGCTTCTAGCAACAGGTGACACAGTTTTGGTAGCAGCTTGTCCACTCTTCACCAGTTGTCTCATCTCTCTCTAACTCTGCCTGAGTTGGCCCAAGACTGGCATGATATTGACTGGTCTGGAGAGGTTTGGTAATAATTACCCAACTTTTGGACTTAGTTGCAGGTATCATCCCACCTTTATAACTTATGCTTTCTCTTATTTATGCCTCACACCATTACTTCCAAGTGGATGGAGGTAAATTTTCCCTTTTTCTCCTCTCTTGGTATTCCATCTGAGGCTATCTCCAAGATTTTGACTGTTTTTTTGAAAATTCTGATTTTTAAACCAAATGGGCAGTTTTATTTTAATCATTGATTTTCCATAACAAATATTATTTCCCAGTCTTTGGTCTGGTTTGTTCTAGTGCACTCCAACCAGCCATCCTGCTCCCACAACACTCAGGTTATCATTCAGACAACCTTACAGGTTCATTTCTCATTTCAATTTCCTTTTCTAGTGACAAATTAAGTCTTGTCTCCCAAGTTTATATTTCCACAATTATATTTCATATGGCCATTTGACCTATTAATCATAGCTTCCATTTTTATTGACAGCCATAACTCAACTTTTCTCAATTCTTTTTTTAATTCCCACAGTAAGCGAATAACTCAAAATATACCTTAGCGATTTCCTCCTGAATGCCAGTCTCTTGATATTGTCACTTCCTCCCCTCTCCTAGCTCACATTTTTACATTAACCCCTTTAATTCCATGAGTGTCACAAAGTAGTGGAGATTCGTGAATACCTATTTCCTGAGGGGACATGGTATATTGAGATGATGATCCCTTTAATTTATCTTTCCTGTTTTTGTTATTCTTCTCACTCAGAGACATTTTTATACTGATTACTTGAATTTCACAGGCCCAGTTATTATTTTGTGGCTGTGCACGTAACATAGTAGTTAATGGAATTGGCATGCCAAGTTCAAATTTTTGCATTCACTTTCACCTTCATATAAATATATAGTGAAAGGCATGAATCTATCTCTTCTACTCCCATTTCACACTAAATCTAGTCTAACCTGTTACTACCCACTGTAAAATCTAGTATTAATTATAAAAGATTAAAATAAGTTTCTATTTCTAAGCCATTAAAGTTCACCATCACAAAAACAGGAAATATATCTAAAAACCATCAGTAGAACACACTTCTAGAATAAATGTGAACCCAGGAAGCACCCACTCCAATAATCCCAGTTCAAATTAATGAACTCAGTTTGCTCCCAATTAATAGCA